GAGGCGGTCGTCATTGTCTTCCCGCAGGCTCACGCAAACATACCCAGCCCATAGAACTGTCCTGTTAGGCGGCCTTTTCGTTCACTCTTTTTGATGACTGTATGAGACACGATGATTTTTCTTTTACATCTTATTTATATACCTGCTTCTCCATTGCCTTGTGCCTGGTTTTTCATACTGTTTGTTTCTGTGAAGGCTACTGCGTTTCCTGCCATGTCCTCTTTTGTCCTGTCTTTGGAGCGGAAACCCCTTGAAAACGGCAGAGGAAGGGGGTGGGATGGTGTTCTGAATCACTGACTCCAGTAATGTGAGAGTCTCAGGCGGGTGAAAATTACCGACGCCGTGGGTGAAGGGGCTAATAAGAGTTACTTTTACCCAATTTGCAATACGTTCACCGTGTTTTGTTATTTGAGTTGAAATTCCATCCCGTAAGACTGGCTCTACGTCGAATTGTGGTGTTGCCTTGTTGCCTGTACAGCTTTTCCACAAAAACAGTGACTTGGCACTGATAGACAGAAGCACGCAAGACGGTGGGCAGACGCGGGATGGCGAAGCAAGGTCTGGTGGGTAGACGTGGGGGTGTCTTTGTGCCTCAATCTTGTCGATATTGTTGAGTTGTTAAGTTGTCTTGAACTTCTCTCACCAGCACAGCGTTGTGAACAATGTGTATGAATTGGCAAGTGTCCCGTCATATGCAACTCGTCCTTAACAATGCAACTTCTCGATGCACAATAAGGCACAACTCCCTTACTGTGCAAAACAAAGCTTTCTCCTCGCTCCAAACCAACTTCCGAGGTGTTCTCTCCCCTCTCCGAGGTTTCTCTTTGCTCCCGCAGCCTCCCCACATGCCAGGACGCAAAAGCGCGATCTAGTAAACGGGGCACTGAACTCCAAAAGTACAAAGTATACCCGAAGCGGCTAATATGCATGCTAGGTGGCAGACGCGCCTGGGGAGGCTCGATAAAAAACCGGGCGCGATGCGGCGCACTATCAACAAGCTACAGGACGCTGCTATGAGGGGAAAGCTGGGGCCTGAAGCGGGAGGAAGGGCTCCTGCCAAAAAGGTGGGACTCTGGTATCCGGAAGCTTAGGAAGAGGGAATCGACCTGGGATGTTGTGACGAGCAGAAGAGGGCGAGAAATTAGAAACAAGGGCGCTCCAGCATGAAAAGTTGGCTGCCAGACTGCTGTTGTCGGACAATGCTGTCACAGGACAAATTATGTGTCTTGTCAGCCAGGTTGCGTCAGTGGCTCTTTCCTTGCCTAGAAATCTGCCGATCGGCAGGTACAAAGCACAATTGAGACCCAAACTAGGAAAGCAGCGACGATGGGCAAGGAAAAACACGACAGTGTCAGTGTGTGTCGCACCTGCGGGATCAGCCACCAGCCATTGCCGATACTGTGCTCCCACTGTGCGTAGACACCGTGAGACGGTGAGGTGGCACCGGTGGGTTAGCAGCTTCCGCAAGAGGTCAAAAGCATCGTTCCTGTGTGGTTTCGTAACCTGCCTGAGCTGCCTTCCGAGCTTCCCTCCCTGGCCAGAGCCCAGTTCTCCGAAAGTTGAGTGGAGTCCATCCCCGAGGACATCTACAATGCGGAACAATAGACAGCCGCCTTCGCCATTTCGTTCCCCATGGCCGCAAAGTCGCAAGTCACTTTTGGGGAAACAGAGGACGTAGTCTTACGCGGTGGGATTTCATTCCCACAGCCCGTCCTGCGGCGCCGCAATCCGCCGCCGCCCGCGCTCAACCTTCTCACCGCCAGTGTTCTTCTATTGCTTTGCATGCATCTCTTTCTGGGTCATAATGCTGTGCGCAATCGAGGGAATGGTCCGTCTTTTTTCTCTTATTATTCCGTACTTTGGCTCCTCCGACAATGCCGTCCTCAGTTTGTCACCGTTTCTGTCCCGTTTTGTTGTCTAAATATGCCTAGAACGGGCGACGTAGAGCGTAATATTACGGAGCACGGCAAGTGCCACGTCTTGCGCCGTCCACAGTTACCCATTTTTGCGGCGCCACTTGCCCGGCTCGACCCTTTACTCCCCCGTTCACAGAGTTGTTTGTGCATTCCCTTCGTCGGTTTATTTATTCTCCTGTCCCCAATCCATCGTCATCCTTTCTCCCCAGCTCCGCCTGTATCTGTTTCCGTCGTCTCTCCGGCCAACCTTTTTAGCACACCCTCTCTGGGGCGGCTAACAGGCGAGGTAAGGTATATTTGTATTGAGTGTTGAGAATTCCATCAACCTTTAAGCATCAGGAGAGACGCATCAGGCTCTGTAACAAACTATGCACAAAGCGTGGTGTGGCTAAAGTTCACGATTCGAGAGGTATGTCGGGGACAGGAATACCTAAACAGGCAAGTCCACACGCGGGACAATACCCCCACGCACAGAACCGCGCTGGGGAAGTATTTATTTCGTAGCCAGTATTACCAAGAACGAAGCAAGTAGCAGTCATTTCCAGAGCTATACAATCAGACAGACAAACGTTGAGTGGCCTTCCATGCAAGTGCGTTTGCCGCGTGGGTCAGACCTATATGCGTGTCTCGTTGAGGGAAGTGTATGTGTCTCACGGCACAGTCCGGATTGCCACCACCCAATTTTTTTCCCCTGGCCAGGGGAATATGCAATGGTCTTTGCCGGACGAAAATGGTTACGAAACGAAAAGGTCGAATGAAGAATCTCCGGGACAGCTACAGCGGGCTACTCTTTGACCTTGTGACTAAAGATGCCAGAGACAGGGCCGTTGTCAGTTCTACCATTGCTGGACATCACCAAAATATATCATAGCTGGCAGACCGGACTACCATACTGAGAGATTAGTCCTACTTCTTCAGGCCTTCGGTGTGTATGTGTGTTTTGTCTGTTTGTTGGGGAGGCTCAGATGACCACGACCGGAAAATAGCAAATCCCAGTACGGCCACCGACTTGACAGTTGCGGCCTTTTCCTTTTCCCTCAGACATGTCCGTCCCACGGACCGTGCTTTCCGTTTTGGAAATTAGATGTGGTTACCGGGAAATCTGTTACACGTAAAAGGAGAACTATGGAGCATGATGTTCAGACCGTTTTGACCTCGTAGTCTCTGGCGGGTTCATTCTTTTTGCCGTCTTCTCCGAGTGCCGCGCTGTGCGCTGTTGTGCAAGGCCCTTTTTTTGTGGTCCATTTTATTCACTTCAACTGCCATCTGACTCGCCTTATATAAATGGAGAAGAGTGCCGCCGACACCGGGCATTGGTACCGTTTTCTTGTCCTCTCACACTCGTTCCTGCGACGTTTGCGTACAGTTTTTTTTTCAGTTTTTCAGTTTTTTTTTTGATCTCCATCTTTTATATTACACACGCACAGTAAGGAACGGAAACTGTACATTATGCTCCGTATTCTCTCCGTTCGAGTGTTCGCACATCTTCTGCTATTTTTACTCATATATACCAGGCATTATCGCCTGGAAGAAGGGAAAAGTGTGAGCCCACTAAGCAGGGACAAACGGAAGCTCAGAATGGGGGCGCAATGCTATCCGTATTCCCAGCGCCCCCATTGCCCATTTTCCGGCCTTTTCTGGGCTTTTGTTCCCGCCGCGCCCAAGACGGGCCTCTTAGCGTGCCCTTACTAGCCCTTCTACCCTTTTATCCATCGTCTTTCCACATTTGCGTGTCAGTGTACGTGGCCGCGTCCGGTTAGTAAAGGGGCAATACAGTGCCAGATAAGATACTGCCGCATAGGCGCACACGGTAGTGCCACCTTCCATGCTTCTTCGATGCGTTCTCGGCGCTCGACCTTAGCGCGCTTGCCCTTTTTGCCTGCCATCTGCGCCTCTCCTACCTGCCTTTCGGGAGACGCGACCACCGCCACATGCAAACTCAAGCCCCTGACTGGTAGTAATACAGTATCACAAAAAGTCGGCCGCCAGCGGACGCTATATTTGCGGCGACTCCAAACGAACGAATCGAATCGCAGAACAGGCCGACTTGTCGCAGTGAATGGGACAGCGCAAAAGAAAAAAATTAGGGGACTGAGCTTAAAATAAACTAGAAAAATAATAAAATACTGCGGCAAAAAAATAGTAGCGGCAAGAAAAAAAAACATCCAGAAGCATTTCTCTTTTTCTAACTATTTGCGCCTTTTCCTTTCCACGACCCGGCTTCGCTCGTAACATACTCGCTCCTTCCCTCTCGTCATCTCCTGTTGTTGCTCTTTCCATCGACAGTCTTCTCTTGGCCACCGTTGCGCCTACCTTATCGAGCTTCTTACCGTTGTTGCTCTTGCTCCCCAAGCGCCATCGCTGTTGCTTTCCTGACTTGGCCCCTTCGCGCCTTCTTCGTCTGACATTCTCCTGGCCGCCTGCACCTTCCTCCGTTTTTCCATAGCTCGCTAGCTCGCGTAAGATACTCCTCGCCCCATCTACTTCCTCTTTTTTTTCTTCTTTTTGTCCCTCTTCTATTCTCTGCCTCGTTCTTCATCCTCGTGCCTCACTCCACCACCTCCGTTTTGAACCTTGCCCGTGCTCTTCTCCACATCCTCGCATCCCAATTGCACACTATCGTCCACCAGGGAGCCTCCGTACATTGAGCCTTATCCACTTGGACCTCCCCTCCCCATCATAGGACCCCCCGTCTCCGTTTTGTTTCCCTATTTTCCCTATTTTCCCGGTGCTGATTCGAGTCACTTCTCCGTCCTCTAGCTTGGCCGACCCCATTGAACCTCCACATTGACTCCCTCACTTTCTCTCTTGTTCTCTTCCTCCTCATTCTGTCCCACTGTCGTCTTCGCGCACAAAATCGAGCAGCTACCGTTTTGCCTCACAATCACTGTCCGTTTTTTCTCTTTCCTTGTCTTGCCCTCGTCCCCTTTATCTGGTTCTATATTCGTGTCGTCTTCTTGATCATCTCTGTTACTCACATTTGCTTTGTTCTTCTCTCCAGCTTTCGACTGCAGACCCGGCCTTTGATTTTGCCTCCGTACTCTGCCAACGCATGCCGAAACACCAGACGTCCTCAAGTCCGCCATGTCGTCAACATCCACGGTGAAGGAGGCCGTGAAGGAGGGCCTGCTCGGCCATAAAGAGCCGACACAGCTGTCCTCGCAAACGCGGGCGCGTTTTCTGAAGAATGCCACCCCCGACGCCGAGACGGGCGAGCTCGTCATGGGCCCAAACGAGTTCATCAACGCGATTGCCCCGGAGGGCGAGGACTACCACAAGATCAAGCGCGAACAGTACACAATCCTCTTCCCCGTTGCCGACCGCCGCGGCCAGGGCCGTATCAACCTGTCCGACTGGGCCTACTTCGAGAACATCCTGATGAAGCCCGATGCCGAGTATGAGATCGCCTTCCGCCTCTTCGACGTCGAGCGCCTCGGCACCGTGCGCTACGACGACTTCCGCCGGCTGTACGAGCTCAACAAAGGCCCCAGCACCATTCCTTTTAACTGGGACTGCGAGTGGGCCAAGCTATACATTGGCGACAAGCGCAAGCGCCACGACATGGACTATGAGCAGTTCTCCCAGATGCTGCGGGGTCTCCAAGGCGAGCGCATACGGCAAGCCTTCCAGCTGCTCGACCGTGACGGCGACGGCTACATTGAGCCCGAAGAGTTTGAGCGCATCATCCTCGAAACCGCCAAGCACAAGCTGTCTGACCACCTGTTGCAGCACCTGCACACTTTGTGCAACATCTCCAAGGGCACCAAAATCTCCTACGCCAACGTCCGCGCCTTCCAGAACATGATCAAGGAGATGGACCTCGTCGAGCTGATTGTGCGTCGCGCTTGCTCCAAAAGCGCCGACAACAAGATCACCCGCACCGACTTCCTCAACCAGGCCGCCCGCATCACCCGCTTCTCGCTCTTCACCCCGATGGAGGCCGACATCCTCTTCCACTTCGCCAGCATCGATGAGCCCTCGGGCCGTCTCGGTCTGGCCGACTTTGCCAAGGTCCTCGACCCTGCATGGCGAAGCCAGGAGCGCGTCGAGGGCGCCAGAGACCAGCTGCAGCAGACCACCCAGCACGCCAAATCCGCTCTGCAGAAGTTTGCCTCGCAGGCCTTTGAGTCCGCCTACAACTTTGGTCTCGGCAGTTTGGCGGGTGCCTTTGGCGCCTTCATGGTGTACCCCATCGACCTCGTCAAGACGCGCCTGCAGAACCAGCGCGGCGCCGAGCCAGGCCAGCGCCTCTACAAGAACTCGATTGACTGCTTCCAGAAGGTCGTCCGCAACGAGGGCTTCCTGGGCCTCTACTCTGGTGTTCTGCCGCAGCTTGTTGGTGTCGCGCCCGAAAAGGCCATCAAGCTGACCGTCAACGACCTGGTCCGCCAGTGGCAGACCAGGCAGGACGGCTCCATCTGGTGGGGCTCCGAGATCCTTGCCGGTGGTACCGCCGGTGCTTGCCAAGTTGTCTTCACCAACCCCCTCGAGATTGTCAAGATTCGTCTGCAAGTGCAGGGCGAGGTCGCCAAGAACGTGCAAGGCGCACCAAAGCGGTCGGCCATGTGGATCGTGCGCAACCTTGGTCTTGTCGGCCTGTACAAGGGCGCGTCTGCGTGTCTGCTGCGTGACGTGCCGTTCTCGGCCATCTACTTCCCGACGTACAGCCACTTGAAGAAGGACATGTTTGGCGAGTCTCAGACGAAGAAGCTCGGCGTGCTGCAGCTGCTGACAGCCGGTGCTATCGCTGGCATGCCGGCTGCCTACCTCACGACACCCTGCGACGTTATCAAGACGCGTCTGCAGGTCGAGGCGCGCAAGGGCGACACCCAGTACACGGGACTGCGGCACGCGGCCAAGACGATCTTGAAGGAGGAGGGCTTCAGAGCCTTCTTCAAGGGCGGCCCCGCGCGCATCATGCGTTCGTCGCCCCAGTTCGGTTTCACTCTAGCGGCATACGAGGTTTTGCAGAGCCTGCTGCCCTTCCCGGGCGGCGGCAAATCGGAAGTGGTGCAGACCGGTGTCTCCGGCGCCATGTCGTCGCTGAAGGACAAGATTTCGCCGTCCGAGGTGCAGACGCCCTTCACGCGCAGCCGCAACGCGCTCAAGATCATCCTGGACTTGGACGAGGACTTTGGCAAACTGAAGCTACCCGACCAAAAGGGCTGGCAGTCGCTGCCCACCACCATCGGCGGTGGCGGAAAGCCCTAAGCGACCACACTGCATACGGCTCTCGCCCTTTTTTTAATCTACCGTCCCTTTCTCTTCCTCTTTTTGACTTTCCTTCCGGTTGCATCAGAAACAAAAAATCCTAGATGTTTTTAGAGTTGGGTTGGCGGGAGCATATAACGTTTTACGTTTCTATCTTTGGGTATTTTTTGCCGTTCTTGTTTTTTGTATTTCTGTCTTGATGTCTTTGCAACTTTTTTTCTTTGTCATTTTGTGCCTCGGCTATTTTTGGATCTTTGCCGTTTTGGCAATTGGGCGTTTGGGATACACAGCGAACCAAAAAAGACACTTTCAAATCTGTCCATCTTCTCCGATCCTTCCTCTCACGACGCGCCGACGACAATACCTTTCCCGACGTCCTCCGCGGTGCTGTGTCTTTGATTTCAGCCTTCGATCTACCTCCTCTTTCGATACCTCAATCCTCTGTCCCAATCTCCCGCTCGGGTTTCACCGAAGACAACAATCTTCGACTCTTTTTCTCTCTGACGATTCAACCCTTTCTCGACGTCCGAATTACACCTTTCGTTGTTCGTTGCCGTACAAAAGAAAAAGAAAAGACGACTTAGACGTGTGCTGCATAGCAAAGACTGGTTTCTCTGGATGAAGACGTTACTTAGAGGTCTTGGAGGTATCTGGCTTGCGCCTTAAAGCGTGCATCTTATGTGGCTGCTGTCACATGGCCAGGTCTGTAATCCGTCCACTTTTGTCACATTGCTCTTTTCTTTCCTTTCTCACGTCCTGGCCATGGCGTCGACAGCGACTGTTTTGTCTGCAAAAGAATATACACTTCGAAATAGAATCATATTTACCATTTTACCCTGTATGCCCAAGGCAGCCGCGTACTGGGGCATACACTCATCAAGACGAAGCCTTGAACAACGGTCTGAAAGACGATAGCTTATTAGTATCGCGAATCTGTGCGGATGTAGCTAACACCCGATATCGACAAAAATAGCGCCATCGCACGCCTTCCACGCTGGTGTTGATTCGCCGAAGGTTCTAATACTTGCAGTGTTAGTGGATGCCTGCCTTCTGAGCTAGCTTGCACTTGCAAGCAGACCCTTTTTTAATTACAGTGGCGTTTCCGTGCTCCAGGCATTGAGTTAGGCATTGCAAGTTATGCGATCTTTGGAGTTGGCCCTGAAACCAGCAGGCCTTTCGCACCTTCCCCATACCGTCATTAGCTTGCAAGGCGATGCGATCCTGCCCCAACCCAGAAGACGGAATATAACGTCCCCTCATCGCACCTGCCGCCCTTTGTGCGCACCTCCTACACAACTCACCTCGTCTTTCCTTTGTGTCTTCTTCCGTCCTTTTCCACACTCAAAGTCAAACCTGATGAAGAGGCGAAACCGACAACGATCATCTCCCTCCAGCTAGCGCGCCCGCTCAACTATATCTCTCCTCGTGTTCCTCGCAATGGACATCCTCAGCGCGATTTCCGCCCTCTGCGGCTGGATCTACACAATCAGCTGGTCGCTCTCCTTCTACCCCCAGCCGCTCCTCAACGCCAAACGCCGCTCCACCTCCGGCACCACCGTCGACTTCCCGCTCCTTAACTGTCTCGGCTTTTTGTCATACTTATTGTCGACAAGCGCCATGCGCTACTCGGCCACCGTCCGCGCCGAGTACGCCGCGCGCCACCACGGCCTCACGCCCACCGTCGCCGCCAACGACGTCGTGTTTGCTGCCCACGCTCTGTTGCTCTCGCTCTTTGTCGTGTCACAGTACCTACTGCCGCAGATCTGGGGCTGGCACAAGAACGACGAGGAGCCTGCTGAGGAGGGACTGTCTGAGGGTGACGCTGCGACCCTGTCCGACGACCGTCCGCAGCAAAACGTGCGCCGGCGCCGCCTCCCGCGCGGCAATGACAAACCCTCCCACTTTATCCTGGGCGTCATGGCCGGTTGCATGGCCGGCGTGCTCTTTGTGACTCTGCTGGTCGTCCAGGGCAGCGGGGCTAGCCGTGGCGGGCGTGCCACCGACACCGACGCAGAAACGACCCCTTGGCAGTGGCTCGACGTTGTCTACGCCCTCGGCTACGTCAAGGTCATCGTCACCCTCATCAAGTACTCGCCCCAGGTCCTCGTCAACTGGCGCAACCGCAGCACCCAGGGCTGGAGCATCTACACGATGATCCTTGACTTCGTCGGCGGCATCCTCAGCATCGTCCAGCTGCTGCTCGACAGCTACCGCCAGCACGACTGGTCCGGCGTGACAGGCAACCCCGTCAAGCTGCTGCTGGGAAATGTCTCCATATTGTACGACCTCGTCTTCTTCACGCAGCACTATGTGTTGTACGCAGAGAGCAGTCGCGGCGATGGCAAGGACCTGGCGCACGAGGAAGAGGCTGTGGAAAACAGCCGGACGCAGCCGACAGAGCGTGATCGATTGTTAGAGAGGCAGTAAAAATAAAGGAAAGACTCTTACGAATAAAAAAAAAAACAAGGATGAAGAGAGCAAGATAGATGATGCATACGAATTTGGAGTCTTTTGTTTTCTGTTTGGAGCGCTGTACTTTCTAGCATTGCTTTTTTCGGGGATACCATTTATGTTCTCAAATCATTTATTTTTATTTATTTGCATTATCCCCTTGCACCTTGTCAGCCACCCCCTGCTCAGATCGTCAGGTGGAAGCGGTTTAACCGCTACACACACAGACCCGGTGGCCTCTCCTGATGGTGCATGATCGCCGCATGAATTGGGAAGCCCAACAACCAAAAGATCGCCAGCCTTGTTTCTCGAAAGTCTGTTTCTGCGCATCATCGTTTTGCATGTCGTATTTTTGCGTTGCTTAATTCTGTCTTACGAGGGATGGCGTATTGTGCTCACCTTTGAGCATCGTCCTGCGTTTACGATTATTTGGTTTGGCGCCAACACCCGTCTTCTCTGTCCTCATCCCTACTTTCCTACAACTTTGAGCTATTCTCTTCTCACTGTCTCGTAATAATATCGCTGTATATTTACTTTCCTATTCCGTTATTAATGTATACTTTATTTCCTCGTTACCCTTACTCCTTTAGGTGAGCAACGGTTCAGCCATGGCCAACCACAAAAGCAGTGAACACGGTCCCTGGGTATCCTTTTCGGTGTTTCTTATTCCCCCCTTTGTCTTCTGATGCTCTTTTTGTTATTCCTCTTACGTTTTGGATTTCCGTACACTTTTATTTTCTCTCCTCGCTTACACAAAACGGCGGAGTGTAATGTACAATTAGGAAACTAACAGTGCCCGCTGTAGATCACTCATTTCATGTTTCTCGTTGTCGCCTCGCGACCGTCTCTTCTTACTTCTCGAAATAATCCGGCCATATATGTAACTATATGTTTCTCTGCCAATAAGCACGGTTCTCTCCCCAATAGCCTACTTACCTCATCTCCTGTCCTTCCCATAACCCGTCTCCTGTCTGCCGTCCTTTTGTCCGCAAGGCTGCCCTGATGGAAACCTGTATCTCATGTCCCGTTCCCGCAAGCGGAAAGTGCACAGGTATACCTACGCACATATATCTTTTATACCCACATGGCAGGCCGCACTCTTCTTAATATAGTGCCTGTCGGTGTCCCGTGCTCCCGTCCCCGCCCATCGACGTCCGCGATGCATCCACAACATCAATTCCATGGCCGTTACCAGCATCGCCCCCCAGTAGGCGTAAGCATGACAGGTCATGACCCACGCCGCTCAATCCGTCTTTGCTGTGCCCTTGTTCTTGGTCGGCTACTTCTTCATCCTAACCATGCAAAACGCCAAAACAAGCAATGGCATGCCCCTGTGCCAAGAGGCACACGTAGCAGAGGGCGCTTTAATGCAGACTGACGGCGCCATGTGCGTCCTTGTACAACAATGAGCCTGGATGGTGTCCATCGCTCTTTGCGACTTTTACGTTTTGCTGCATGACCTATTCTCCCTCTCTCTTTCTTTAGCATCGACCAGTAGCCCTTTCCAGTCTAAGCTATCTTCCGTCGTACCTTCTTTCTCGTTCCCAATGTACTCCTTCGCACCTTCCCCATAAATCAAGCAGCAGCTGTGCCGGGCCACATGCAACGGGAAGGCACGTAGTCAATAATTACAGGCCGCCAACTAATGTGGTCACGCCGTACCTTCCCAGCCTGGCCATACCAGCCATCTGCTGCCATCCTCCTCTCCCCCCCCTCGTCTCTCCTTAAACTCACCCCCTATTGCTGTTTTGTCCTTGTCCAAGCTGCATCTCCAGTCGAACCCTCGCCCCAACTACAGCACAGACACCCCTCCTTTCGATCCTTCACATATGAGTGTCCTCGATGCGAGTGTGCTTGTCTAACACCCTCACCCCCCTTCAGTGCCTGCTATCCTGGTTTCCTCGCCGATTGTCTCCTCGCGCTTCCCCTCCATTTTCCTCCGATCCGCCCTCTCCATTCCCGCCATCAGCTCGTTTGTTTACCTTTCTATTTCCCTTTTCTGCCTCTTCAAAGAACACGGCATGGGGGCAAGCCTCAAGGTCGTCATCGGAAGCTGGTACTGGGCCAAGAGAACCGGTCATCATCGAGTGGCGATCGAGAGACAGTGCTCGGTTAGAAAGGAGGACAGTGTTGGCTTGGACAGCCAGGGCCAATGTTTCGGTAATACGCACACGCCGTAACCATAACCAGACAGACGACAACAACCACAACCACGGTGACAACTCGAAGCAGGCTCTCAGTTTTGGTCAAGATGGTCATGGCTTCATGCTGCCTATTCTAGCCTGCGTCGTACTGCCTCGAGAGCACGTCCTCCACAATCCTCACCCCTCTCGCCAACCACTTTTCGTTCGCACAACACTTTCTCACCCCCACCCGGTGTGAGCTGCCTTCTTCCCCGGAGGAGGGGCTGCATACGGAGAGACCATGCAGCGGACCCATGCAGCTGGAGACATTCCGCAGATAGAGTTCTTGCTTTGCTCCTGGTGGATATGCGTACGAGCTTTTTTGCGAATTCCAGTCGTATGCATTTGTTGGCAAAACTGGGGTTGCATGACAGGTTTTGCAACCTAGGGGAAATCATCATGGTACGTGACTGAGTTTATGTCAGACCCCTCCACTTCAACCTGGAGATGTTTTATTTTGTTTACCGTTGTTTATCGTTGCATGTCTGATTTGTATTTCGTCCCTGTTTACTTTTCCTTCCGGCATGTATTTTCTTCTCGGTTGTTATATTACAGGCCTCTTTTTTATATTTCCTCGTTGCCTACATTATTCCCCTTGCAGGTCAATAAACCAACTTTCTCATCAATATTTAGTACTGTTATTATTTTATCAGTTTTTTTTTCTTCATACCCATCTTTTGCGCCTCATTTCACTCTGTTTGCCCCGTTTATCTTACTTGCCGCCTTGCACACCGATCATCTCGTTTCCATCGTCTCGGCCAAATCTTCAATATGCTCAAATGCAAACATGCCAGCACACCAAGTCCTGCATCCCGCATCACCTCCCTGCCTTGCTCCCCCCCTCCCCTTGAGCGTCAATACCATACCTACATACTGCATAGATACTCACCCCTATCGGGTCCCTTCTCCCCGTGCCCCTCCCCGTCATCCCCATCCCCGCCCCTGTTGCCCTCGTCCTGACCCGCTCCGTCATCTCCGCTCGCGTAATGTGCTGTCAAGTCCTTGTTGGAGATCTTACCATGGTGTGCAGGGCAAGTGGCTCGTCCCGGGGTCTTTTGTTGGCCGGTATGCTCTCTCTAATTTTATGTAATTTCTGAGGGTCTCTTTCATTTTTCATTGTATCTCTCATTGGTATGTATCGTTTGTTTGCGTGTACTCGACGTGTGTGCGCGTCTGTGTGCCCTGTACTTGTGTCTGTGTCTGTGTATGTGTCTGTGGCCTGCGCCGGTTTGTAGACCACTGTTATTCCTATAACGACCAGTACTGGCCCTCTTCTTCCTAAACAGGATGCGTGGAAACATTGTTTCCGTGTATTTTCCTTCTCATTTCTTTTTCTGTCATCGCTAATCATTTTCTGTTGCCTCTTTGTTGGTGGATGTTCCATTTTAGTCCGCCTAGTCATTTTATCTTTGGCATACTCCCATACTAACTGTCTGCCTTTATATATCCCTTTGAACACCACCTCCAATGGGCCCAACGCTTTCGTTTACGGCTCGTTCACTTCCCACCTGACACACACACCGACCTTGCAGCATTCCAAATCTACTGCCGACTTTGATACCTCTAAATCGCACTACTACTTTTGGTGTACGGCCGCTACTACAAGCCATCATCCAGGGTACCCACCGACACTTACACTGGCGCGCCCTTACTTATAACTATCACAATCTTCCTATGCCAGCCGTGATCTCGACGTCATGACCGAAGAGGAAGGCGACAACCGCACTACAATGTTGGCGCTCGTCCACGATCCAGCCACGGGCGGCCTCACACTATCCGATGTGCCAATGCCCGTTCCGACGGGTCCGGACGAGCACCTGATCCAAGTCCATGCCGTCGCCCTAACTAACGGCGAACTGAAATGGCCCGAACCAGCCGCACAAGAAACGCCCATCCCTGGATACGAGGTGTCTGGTACTGTTATAGAGGCACCCAACAAATCGTCGCCCTTCCAGCCGGGCACCGAAGTCTACGCGCTGACCGATTTCAACCGCCAAGGCAACGCTTGCGAGTACGCCATTGTCTTGACGGGCGAGCTGCGCCAAAAACCCGAGGCCTTGTCGTGGGAGGAGGCGGCCACGGTGCCATTGTCGGCGCTGACAGCGTGGCAGGTCCTCTTTGTCCACGGCGGCCTGACATTGCCAACCGAGCCAGTAACGCGGCCGCCGACGCCGCCACAAATCCACGCCTCTCCTCCGCGACCACCATCTCTCCAGCGTCAGCATTCGCATCCTTATTCGAGGCAACAGTCACCGGCCTCGCGACCTTCATCTCGCCCCTCGTCGTCCCACCGCCCGCGAAGCATTGTTGTTGGCGACGACGTCAACGCCAACAAGCGTGTGCTGATCACAGCTGCAGCCGGTGGCGTCGGGCTGTGGGCTGTGCAGTTGGCACGGCTTGCCGGCGTCGGGCACATTACAGCGACCTGCGGTCCGGCCAACATTGACTTTGTGCGGAGCCTCGGCGCGCACCGTGTGATTGACTACACGACGCTTCGAAACACGGGAGAAGCAAGCAGTGGCAATAGGAGTGCCGGCACGCGCGAAGAAGGCGGAAGTGGCCGCAACTCGCCCTCGACAGCCCACGGCCGCACACGCTCCAGCTCCCAGTCTCGCTACGGTGCCTTTTATAGCAGCAGCGATAAATACGACTTGGTGCTCGACTGCGTCGGCGGCGACACTTTGAAGCGCGCCTGGACAAGTTCCCGCCATGGCGGCACGGTCATCAGCATCGTCATGCCGCCTGACAAGCTGCGGCCCGAGACGGGCGTGGGCATGGACGTGCGCGGCGTCTTTTTCATTGTCCACGCCGACAGCGAGCAGCTGCAGGCGATTACCGACCTGATCGAGACGCGCGCGGTCAAGGCCGTCTTTGACTCTGCCTTCCAGCTGGAGCAGTACGAGGCAGCGTTTGCCAAGGTCCAGAGTGGCCACGTCCGTGGCAAAGTCGTTTTGCGGTTGGCGTAACTTGTCAACTTGTCATTTACCTCCCCATCACCATTCCTCCTTGCCTATCCCTCGATGCCCCCAGCTGCCTCTCACCCGGTCTTTGCCATTTGCCAATACTATCACACATTATTTTCTTTTATCCGTGGTTCTACTTCCCTCTCATGTAATCAAAATACTCCTTGTCGCTTAGGAGGCGCCATAAGCGTTTGGCAAGGGGTCGCTTATTCATAAACACCCACCGCAAGCAGCAAACAGCACAACAAACCAAGCAAAATACACTGTTCACTCGCTCTTAGCCACCACTCTCTCCTCTTCTCATGACTTGTTCGCCTATGTAGCCTTGCATCTGCTTCGTGCGACGCCAGACGATGGAGCCGCCCTTTAGGGCCCTAGATCCCCGCTGAGCCCCCGGGTCTCACGAGCAGAAAACAACTTACGAGAGAAAACCAAGATGCTGTACGATTACAGTTCACTTTGAATGCATGTACAGATGCTGAGTTAACAACAACGAGCATAGAGAGAAAGGAAAGACTTCAACGGAGTGACATGCACACGAAAGAAATACAGAAAATCATAACAAACGAGAGGATGCATCCCATACGTCGACTCATTCACCATCGGGTCTCATTTTGCACCACTTGTGCTGCACGACTCCAGGCCGTCGGAACGAAGGAGGGAACTGAACCAGGTGCTGCTGTCAGGACCAACTGCTGGCCGATGCGCTTTGCTGGGCCAACTGTCGCATACGGGATTTGGTGCGTCGGGCTTATCGTTCTGGCTGTGTCTTTGTGCAATTATCAAGTGTCTGTCTTTCTTTCTGCGTGACACTTCTGGACGCAGCACATTAATTTTTCAAGTACGACATACATTGCGAGTTTTTTCAACTGATGCTCTGTCGTAGCTTCCTGTCGCAGCATGTTTGGTGTAGTTGCCGTCGTCGGCGTGCCCTCTTACACCAAACGAAGCAGCCCTGTACATGAGACCCACTTTTCGACGCGCGCAGCCAACGAGAGCGCGGGGTAAGATGCCTGAATGCGCCGTGCATCCTGTCCTGGCCTCGTTTTTGTCGATTTGCCGATGCCTCAGGCAGAAACGAGGCCGTGTCATTTAGGGCGAGTTTTTCAACCGCCCATGTTCATCCCCTCAATAACGGGGGAAAAGGGGGGGGGGGGGGTAGGGCGCAACAGTGGCAGCTAAGGAAGGTACGGCCTGGCCCCCTGTTTTGCTGTTGGCGAGAGTCGCGCCTGCCTCTTACCAAGCGACGCGACATGTTCATCGCACTTGCCTTCTGTAACTTGATTCTCGTGTTGTTTTGGAAACTGGAACCATTTCCCCTTTTGCTTTTTCGAGGCCACAAGGAGCTTGCATCACATCACCACCGTTCGTTTCTCCCCCACTGCAATCCTCTAAACGACTCTTTTCCTTTGCCCAACGGCCTCCGACCGCCAACACGCTCTTCGACGACGCGCCCCTAATACATACCTTGCCCACCCAACAGCCAAGGCGTGTTTTTTTCCAGTCTATTATGCGCGCGACAACGCGACGCCCGTGAGCAGATCATCCTTCATTGATTATTGATTATTGACATTCCGGGAATTCCCCATTCTCAAATTCATTCTCCATTTTCCCCTTTCGGGCTTTCATCGCACACTGCGGCCCCCCTCCCCCTCGTCCACTGTTAATTGAATTGGTTTCGCGTCCATCGCGTCCCACCTCCACCCTTTTCGTTCATTGTTTCCCCTACCCCCCTCTTCTTGCCTCCTGGCCACTGCGGCGACCGAAGACGAAACAGCGCAGCCAAACCAACAGTACGACGACCACGGCGCAAGCTATGGCCGACGTACTAGATGACTCGGCCGGCGGCGGCGACGCTGCCTCCCAGCGCCGATCCGGACGCGTCGTGCGGGCTCCTGCTCGTTTCCTTCCAGAGGTCGTCGAGGGGCGCAAACGCCCAGGTGACGATGGTGGCCATGACGACGACGACGACGTAGACGACGTGGATGCCGAAGACGGCGACGATGATGACGGCGAAGACGGCGAGGCCAATCCCCGACGCGTCCGGCCAAAGCGCAAGGCCAATGGAGCGTCAACCGCAGGACGCGCAATCAAGAAGCCCAAGCTCAACGGTGCCGGCAATCATGCCGCCAGCCTACCGAGCCGTCCGAAGAAGTCGGTGCGCGTGACGATTGAGACCGACGCCGACCATGATAGCGCGCTGTACGGTACGTTTTCGAGTGGGGGTTGCGGTATACTATTGTGTGTGTTTGTGACAGAGCGGTCTGAGCTGACAACCCGCCTTCTACAGCCGACATTTTCTCTTCTGGTGACGATAGCGACGACGTGGCTGGCCGCTGGTACGAGCGGTATCAGACCAACAACCAGGCCGCCGTGGCGGACCTGGTCAACTGCATTCTCTCGGCAGCCGGCTGCGACTACCACGTAACGGAAGACGACATCAACGACCCAGACAACTGCTCGAACCGTCTGACAGAGCTGCAGGGCATCTACGAAGATGTGAGTTGCACGAAAGATGGCAGTGCGGGAGACAAACGGTACAACGATGCACCACGTTGAGCTGCCGGTAAACTGACACAGTGTAGCAAAAAATCACCGACTATCCGCTCATCGCCAAGTCGCGGACGACGCGGTCATTCCGCGAACTGCTCGTACAGTTCTTCCACTCTTTCATCAGCGTCCTCCACGAGACCGAGATGCTCTACACACAACCCGAGATTATGGAAAACGTCGTGCGCTGGGTCGCATCCTTGTCCTCCTCCACCCTCCGGCCTTTCCGTCACACCGCGACTACCGTGGCCCTCGCCATGCTGGCTGCACTCGTTACGGTAGCTAGGAAGCTGGACGATCGCATCAACAAATTGACCCAGCAAGTCGAGAACCAGCGGAGCCGCAACGGCAAGTCCAAGAGCAAGGATCCGCGTCTTGTTTCCTTGGAGAACACCCTGCGCGAGGCTGGGGGCAACCGTGAGCGCGCCGCCGAGCTGATGAAGGAGTTCTTCGACACGGTTTTTGTTCACCGCTACCGCGACGTCGACCCGCGCATCCGCACAGAGTGTGTCGAGGCTCTCGGCTCCTGGGTCTGGGCGCTGCCGGCCGTCTACATGCAGCCCGAGTACCTGCGGTACCTTGGCTGGATGCTCTCCGACAGCTACCCGGCCACACGCCAGGAGGTCCTGAAGCAGCTCGCACGCGTCTTCAAGCGCGATGCCAGCAAGATGGGCCACTTTATCGACCGTTTCCGCGCGCGCCTCATTGAGATGGCAACAAAAGATGCCGACATCAGTGTCCGTGTCTCTGCCATTGCCGTCGTGGAGCAGCTTCGCCCAGCTGGTCTGTTGGAACCCGACGAGATCGACTCCATCGGCCAGCTCATCTTTGACGCCGAGATCCGTATACGGAGGGCTGCCGTCAACTTTTTCGCCGACTGTGTCCGTGAGTTCGCCTCCATCAAGCTCGACGAGGTCGGTGGCGAAGAGGTCATGTACGAGCTGTTCGGCAAGGGCCAGAGCAAGACGGGCGACTTTGATGCGCCACGGCGCGACTGGATCAACGTCAAGAGCTTGGCCAACACCGTGTCGGCCTACGAAACTCAACTCGGCGCACAGAGGACAGAGCCGACGGTGTCCAGCTTGGACGTGACTGCCGAGGTCGCCAGCGCCGTCGTGCCCGAGACGAGCCGGCTGGCCCTCGCCACGCAGGTCCTCGTGGACAAGATTCCCGAGATCACCAACTGGGAGATCTTGGCCGGCTATCTGCTGTACGACCACAGCGTGGACCAGGTCAAGGGCCGTGGCGGCCGCAAGCAGACACGCACAGCCGACGCGACATTCCGCGTTGCCGTTGCACCTGGGGACAACGAGGAGGCCATCCTGCTCGAGATCCTCGCAGCGGCAGCCAAGGCCAGCCTGGCCCCGGGCGGCGAGAGTGAGCGATTCAAGAAGCGCTTTGGCCGGCCCGATGCTGCTCCCGCGTCGGCGGCCACGGGCGCGCTGTCCGCGGCCGAATCCTCCGAAGCGGCTGCCCTTCAGCTGGCCACACTCATCCCGCAGCTGCTGCGCAAGTTTGGCGCCGAGCCTGCGACTGCGGTGACCGTGCTGCGTCTCCAGCATTCTCTCAATCTGGAGGTCTTCCGTCAACTGCGGCAAGACACCGCCACGTTTGAGGGTCTGTTGGACGAGATTTGCACGCAGTTTACCCGGCATGCCGATACCGCAGTTGTGGCCGAGGCGGCCGCCGCGCTGCTCCATGCGCGCCAGTACGAAGAGCTCGAGGAAGTTGTCGACAGCCGGGTGTCCTCGCTCTGGGAGACGACCATCAACTCGCTGCGCAACTTTGACCGGACATGCGAGTTGTCGGCGCGCCGCAGCCTGAGCCCCGCGCTGGCCTCCCAGCTGTCGGTTACCCTCTTCAAGATCAACAAGCTGGCTGCCATCTCCGACTCGGTCGACATCCTCGAGGCAAGGGGCACGGCCAACGCCGAGTCCGAGTCGCCTGCTATTGAGATCCTCGTCAAGACGGTCCACCGCGGCAAGTTTGAGGAGCCGGACGAGGACCTCGACAACATTGAGGATGGCCTTACGGCCAACGCCATTGGCGCGTGCCAGTTCTACTTTATGTGGAAGATGCGCTCGCTTGTTCTCGCTGTGAACGCCAAGGCCGAGATCTCCAATCCGGTTATTGACAACCTGGCCATTCTGAAGCGGGCTTTCGACCAGAACGTCGTCCACACCTTCTCGTCTCGCGGCTACAACGACGATCTGCGGTTGTACGCCACGGGTGCCTACTGCGACCTGCACGTGCTTTTCGCCCAGCTGCGCAAGAACCTGGACCGCCCGGCCGTCATGGCGCGGTATGTCAGCCTTGGTCGCCTCATTGACCAGGTGCCTCCCGGCCTGATCGGCGAGCTCGTGTCCATCTTCGACGCCGCCGAACGCAGCTTTGCCAAGAAGGCCAAGAAGACGCTCAACGACCCGGCCGACGACGAAGACCCGGTTGAGGACCCGCTGGACGAAGATGATGACGACGACGACGACGACGAGGACACTTCCATCGAGGAGCGCCGGGCTGCTGAACTCAAGGCTGAGCGCGCGCTGTGCGACCTGACGAGCCACTACGTCATGGCTATCGTCGCACGCGTGCTCGACCACTCGGGCCCCTTTGCCGGCAAGCTGAAGCGGCGGCTGCTGCGCAACCAGACCAAGCTTGGCCACAGCTACAAGGAGATTGTCGCGTTCCTTGACGAGAACAAGGCCGGCGAGCTGTTGGTGGCCAACAGCCGCAAGAAGGGCGGCCACGCGGCCCGAGGCGGCACCACCAAAGGCAAGGTGGCCGCCGCGGCGTCGGATCGGCCAGGAACTGCCGATGCCGGCGGCGCCCTGTCAGCGCCGACGCCTGGCGCGACACACGAAGAGGTGCTGCTGGGAGCACCGACGCCGGCCGCCGATCTGGACGACGACGAGCTGGACGATCTGCTGGACACGCCCGAGCCAGAGGAGGGCACGGTGGAGGATCTGCGGCGGAGGGAGCTGATCGACCAAGGCCTGGACGACGAAGAGGAGGAGGACGACGACAAGGCAGAAGGCATGGATGAGGATGAAGATATCCTTGGCGACTGAAGGAAGAAGGCGGAAGGAAAAAAAAACCCAATTGTTGTGCGTCGTGTATAATGCTGAACTTTGCAGAGGACGGAGTGTCGGACATGGGTTGCCATCGGATGGGCCGGGGTTCTCTACGGGTTTTCTTTACATCTATGCTGTACCTTTTTGTCTTCTTTTATGCTTGAGGATGTGGGCTGCGATTTTGTCTATGTTCGTTTTCTTTCTTCATTTCTCACCATCTGTTTGTATTCCTCCGTGTCTATTTGTCTTTTGTTGACATGTGTCATTTTACGATTGTAGGCCAGTGTTTACACCTTTTGTGTTATCCTTCTCATCCTTTCACGTTTTGCCCTTCTTCTACGACTGAACTTTTAAAGCGACTGTCCCAAGTATAAACAAGTATAAAAAACATACCGATTGCAATTCACCATACCCCAAGCTATGGCTGGTCGTTTTGTTGCATTTAATGTACCTAATGCCGTACCCCAAAATAGCTTAAAAGGGCAGGAAATATCAGATGCTCATGCGGGCTGTCAAAAATGAAACAAGAAAAAAAGGAAAAGCAAAATGCCATACATGAACCAGGGAGGCCGTTTTCGGGTATAGAAACTCCGCCAAACACGCGTGATGCAAAAAGAGACGTGAAGAAAGATGGACCGTCAATCGCGAATGGCAGCCTCAGCCTCGGATCGTAGTCCCAAAGATGCCAAATGTTCGCTGCCAGGTGTACTCGCATTCGTCATCCTCTTCGTCCCCAACATTGTCATACACGGTGTTGCGGACGCCGTACTGCTGCAGGCAGCAAACAAACGGCCGGTTCGTCAGCTGAGGTACTGGTTTTTCCAGCTCCTTTGCTATTTCGGTCAGCCGCGCTACTTGGTCGGGACTCAGTCCTGGCGTTTGCACTGGCGCCTGCGTAGCATCGTTGCTGTTGCCCGTGTTCTTTGCATTGTTAGCCTCGGCGACGGCGGCGGCGGCGGCGTCGTCGTCGTTGTCGTCGTCGTCGCTGTCGTCCTCTGGCTGCTTGTAGTGCTTCATGTTGCCCCCGTTGAAGGCGATTTCCTTGCGGTTTGTCTCGTGGTACTGTCGTGCAGCTTGCTTTTTCTGCTCTTCGCGATCCCGCTTCTTCGCGGCCACCCTGGCAGCTTTCTCCATGTCTTCCTTCTGCTGGGCCGCTGCTTTGGTCCTGATATTCGTGGCCTCCACTGTAAACTTCGCCCGTCGTTTTGCGTCCGCCTTTATCTCTTCCAGGTTGCCCCACATATGGAACATCTTCTCGCGCAGGTTTCTGGTTGCTTCCTTGGTCGCCCGCAGGTCGCTGGCCTCACTGCGAAGCAGCATCTGGCCGTGAAAATCGTCGACAAACGCCCAACAGCGCGTCGGTGGCAACCCGCTGCTGTTATCGTCCTTGTCGTTGTCGTTGTCATTTCTCGCCGAGGAAGTATCTTCTAAACACAGCGCAAAGCGCCATTCCCAGACACAATGGGCCCCATTGCCGCGGTCGTCATCCTCCGATAGCGAATCAGAATCAGAGTCGTCCTTGACCATGTCGATGTCTGAAATGTAGCGTTTGACGGCAAAGTCCGCTAGGTTGGTAGGAACAAAATCCACGACGCGCACTTTTGTCTTGAATTTGATGTTGGCAAATGGGAGCTGGAGCTCTTCGCGACCGGGCATTGTGTATAGTTTGGGGTCTAGCATGCTGGAGAGCGAGGTTAAGGCGCGGTCTGGATGCTCGCAGCGGATGGCTTCATTGGGCCGGTTGGTGAGCGGTACATCGGACGACATGCTCTGCGCGGGTTTGGCGGATCGGGTGAGCTTTCGTCTTTGCCTCGCATTAGGAATCTTTCCCGTTTCTGGCCCGTCTGCGACAGGCAGCGCCTTTCGCTTCTTGTTCCTTTGCCTGGCCTTCATAAAGGCCTTCTTGCGCCCCAGTGCATTTTGGAGCCGAGGGTCCATTTCGTCTGCTTCGCCAAGGACTACCTCGAGCGTTTTCACTTTTATGCGCTCTGGATATTCAAGGTCCTCGTGCATGACGCCTTCTAGCATTCCTCCATACCACCTGACGTGAACATTTTTCAACTCGACCCAGGAGCCCCGTTTTACCTCTTTGCTGACAATGCTGGCGTGTTCAGCGTAGCACGTAACTAGCATACTAAAGCGGCCAGCCGGTCCACACCAGTTTGACAGAGTACGTGGGTTGACCTGATGCAATTCGCGGCCCCCGAATTTTGTGAGGTACTTGCTCGGGTCGCCAACTTGGTGGTACTCGTTGAGAGACGCTCCGGAGTCGTCAACGTTTCGAAAGTTGCTGTTTTCCGTGTAGTCTGTCACCCAGAGAAGGGAACAGGAGCTGGTATGGTACGGATCGGCAACGACATTCACAATTATGTCTTGAAACATGCCGTCGGCAACGTCTTTGAGCTCCCGCCGCTTGTCCAGGATATGTCGTGACTTTTCGGCTTCGGCCTCGAAACATTGTATGGACGGAAGGGCGTTCTTGTTGATGGTTTTGTGAAGGTATTCGGCGAAACCGTGCTCCACCGACGAGGGCGTTCGGTTCTGCGCGCGGTTTGGCTGATCAAGCCATTGGTGATGATGCTCAAGCTTGACTGGCGACGCCGTTCGCGCCCGGTAGACGTCTATTATGGTGGCAAAATTGGACAACAGCGAAAAGCCGTCCGACCCCATGGCTTTTTGCACCTTTGTCCTTTTAACCACCACGACGTCGGCGAGGTTGAACGTTGGCATGGCCTTCACGTCGGCTTGGAAGATGTGCAGATGCATGGTGTTGTTGATAGTTTCCAGCGACTTGTCCACCAGTTTAACAGTCATTTTGTAGTCTTGCCATGTTAGAGCAGGGATCTGGGAAGATGCACAGCAGTCATGCACGGCCTGCTCGACGTACAGCCACACTGAATACACGGGTTTTCATACCTTTCCTGGTCTGTCTGGGCTCCAAGACGCCTGTTACGACGCCCACCACAGACACGATGGAGTATGGTTTGCAGTTGCCGTTGATAACATCGCTCATGTCTTGGAAGTTCAATGCCGCGTCAAGGGCGCTGGTCGCCTTCATGGCGCCGGCGGGCAGCGGGCTTGAACTGGACATCAGTTCCTTGTCACGCATCTTCACCAGAGGAGCGGACTGTCGTGCAGTTGCTGGTCAGAAAAATGAGCAAGATAAAAGCAACGCTGATGTTGGGCCAATGTTGATATCACGAGACGCGTCGTTTGGTGCTAGGGCGCGTCTAGTATCGTTAAGCTTATGTCATCAATCCGGGGTCACGTGCATACACATCAAAGGATCCAAGGTCTTTCCCCTCCAAGTCGCTGCCTGAGGCTAGAGAAAGTGTGCAATTTTGGCTGACTCCGCCGGGGCCCCACCGCTGCAATGCCCCACATCCCCTCCGTCGTCGTTCGCACTCTCCGCACTGTAGAACAGCAGGCACACACGCCGACGAGCACAGTGCCACCGCATTGGCTACGAATACGGTAAGTCTTTGTGCACCTCCTTTGGCACCTTCCCTGTGGTGGCCATCAAAGGTGGGCTGCGGGTTGCCCCTTCCTTCCACCAAAATACGGCTTTGCTGTTTCCGCTCGCTCTCATCAAACGACGCCTGCCGTACTATTTTGTGCCCACTCCTCAGTCTCCTCTTTGCTTCCAATTTTTCTCCGTCTTCCATCACCAAAGCAACCCTCAATCTCGCGATTATTCCGCACACCTTTAAAAGGTATGTCCCCCTCCTCTCGCCCTTTTGCCCCCGCCCCTTCCCCTTGCTGGCCCTGCTGTTGGACCATCGTTCTCCCCCCTGACTTACGCGCCGTTGCTGACTCTTGTCCTCACAGCCTATTTTTTGCCGCGGGGTTAATTTTGCTTCATCTTCTGCTTTGCTCTCTTATTTTGTTGCCTCCCATCATCCCCTCTGCTCTCTTTATCTCGCCGACCGCCGTTCGTGTTCATACACGCCGTCACCCGTGTCGACTCCCACCAGACGACCTCATCGATCACCGACGACTAGCACTAGCACACAGCAGCCATGGCCGAGCGCTACATTCCCGAGCATCGGCGTACGCAGTTCAAGGCGAAGAATACGTTCAAGCCCGAGGAGCTGCGTCGCCGCCGCGAAGAGCAGCAGGTTGAGATCCGCAAGGCGAAGCGTGAGGAGAACCTGGCCAAGCGCCGTGGCATCGGCTCTGGCGACTCACGGCCCGGTGCTTCGCTGGGTGCCGCCCCTGACAGCGACGATGACACCGCCCCGACCGAGTCTCAGGTACGTGATTATGTGTCCCTTGAGAAGAGGCTGTACTGTTGTGGTTTTCGTTTCTAGTTTTCTTTCTTTTTCTTTCTTTTTTGGTTTGAACTTGCAATGATACCTTCTCTTTATCGCTCCTGTTCTTCACCCCGCTAACGCGTCTCCGCAGCTGAACGAGGACCTCCCCCAGATGGTCCAAGGCGTCTTCTCCGATCAGATCGACCAGCAGATCCAGGCGACAACCAAGTTCCGGAAACTGCTCTCCAAAGAGCGCAACCCGCCCATCGAGGAGGTTATCAAGACCGGCGTCGTCTCCCGTTTTGTCGAGTTCCTGCGGTCGCCACACACCCTGGTGCAGTTCGAGGCTGCCTGGGCCCTCACAAACATTGCCAGCGGCTCTGCAACGCAGACCCAGGTGGTCATTGAGGCCGGTGCCGTGCCCATCTTTGTCGAGCTGCTGTCGAGCCCCGAACCCGACGTCCGCGAACAGGCCGTGTGGGCGCTGGGCAATATTGCCGGCGACAGCCCGCAGTGCCGCGATTACGTCCTCAGCTGTGGCGCCCTCAAACCTCTGCTGACCCTGCTTGGCGACAGCCGCAAGCTGAGCATGCTGCGGAACGCAACGTGGACCCTGAGCAACTTCTGCCGTGGCAAGACCCCCCAGCCCGACTGGAACACCATCCAGCCTGCGCTGCCCGTGCTGTCCAAGCTCGTGTACAGCCTGGACGACGAGGTGCTGATTGACGCCTGCTGGGCGATCTCGTATCTCTCGGACGGCTCCAACGATAAGATCCAGGCTGTGATCGAGGCCGGCATCCCGCGTCGCCTTGTGGAGCTGCTGATGCACGCGTCGACCTCCGTGCAGACCCCAGCACTGCGCTCGGTCGGCAACATCGTGACGGGCGACGACGTGCAGACGCAAGTGATTATCAACTGCGGCGCTCTCTCGTGTCTGCTGTCGCTACTCAGCTCAAACAAGGACGGCATCCGCAAGGAGGCGTGCTGGACCATCTCCAACATCACGGCCGGCAACTCGGCGCAGATTCAGTCCGTGATCGACGCCAACATCATTCCGCCGCTGATCCACCTGCTGTCGAACGGCGACCTGAAGACGCGCAAGGAGGCGTGCTGGGCGATTAGCAACGCGACGTCTGGCGGCCTCCAGAAGCCCGAGCAGATCCGCTACCTGGTGGCGCAGGGCTGCATCAAGCCGCTCTGCGACCTGCTGGCGTGCCCCGACAACAAGATCATCCAGGTGGCGCTGGACGGCCTCGAGAACATCCTCAAGGTCGGCGAGCTCGACCGCCAGGCCCAGGGCGAGGGCAACGACGCGATCAACACTTATGCGCTGTTCATCGAGGAGTGCGGTGGCATGGAGAAGATCCACGACTGCCAGACCAACGCCAACGAGGAGATCTACATGAAGGCGTACAACATCATCGAGAAGTACTTCTCCGACGACGACGAGGGTGCCGAGGATGGCCAGCCGGCTGCGAACGGCACGTTTGGCTTTGGTGCGGCGAACAACGGTGGCAACGCCGAAGGTGGTGGCTTCAGCTTCGCCAACAGCGCGGACAACATGGACATGTAAAGAGCTCCTAGACAACTCGATGTCCCATATCCTGTGCATGGTGTTCGGTGTTCTTGCGCCCTTCGGTCCCCCCCCGCCCGCCCGTCGTTTTCCCTCACGCCTCTTACCGACACTTATCTTCACGCCTCCCTACCCACACCGGATCTACATGTACTGAGGGCGACGCTACACACCACCACCGCCTCTACCATCTACACATTACTCATTATCCATTACTCAGTATCCATTGCGCATCTGCCACACGACACATCACCTATGAACCGGAGTTTTATTGCATTTTGCTTGCTTTTTATCTCATGTGCTTTCCTATTTTTCGTCGTTCTTTTTGGAGTACTGGGGCCACTTGGCTGGCCCGGGACAACAAAGACAAAGGAGAGAAAAACAGGAGGGCAAACACATTATGGGGTCCTATGGTAGCTTGAAAGCTCCAGCCCACAAGGAGAACAGAGGAAGAGATATACCACAGAGGGTAGTAATGGACTGCCCAGAGAGGGGGGGTGAATCGAACCTGAACCTCGGCCATATAATACAATATGGTGGGGCCAGGACGAGAGGCAGCAATTGATCTTCATGTATTCACAGGGTCTGAATGGTAGCTTTAAAGCTCCAACCCTAAACCGAGAACGGCGAGCAGACCAGACTGCACGACCGACGCAAACTTGAGAGGAGGAACCAGGCAGAGCTTGAGGCGGACCCAAACAAAAAGAGGCCCCCAGCGCAGGACGAGCCGTTGACCATTGCCAGTGCAGGGCGCGGCGCATGCAGTCCTGTTGTTCTGTCGGGGCCCTTGGGCGTCGCCTCATTTACCACACCACACGACTCGGCCGACAACGAGCCAAGCCGACGCCATCGGACTTTCTGTAAAAGGCCTCTCGACGCTACTGCATCTCAACCGACCGGCCAAGTGGCTGCGGTTCCCTTCGACGTCCCACCGACAGACAATAACAAAGATACAGACCGACATAGCGGCGAGAGGTGGTCCTTGGTCGCGAACAAACTTGTTGATGAGCAGACAAACTGTTCACTACAACATCCCCCCATCCCCCCAACACCTTTTTCCCAACACAACACACAACACTGCGTCCTTTCGAACATGAATTGCAAAAAAATAAAGAAGATCTTCCAATCTGCTTGGTCCAGCTTGTATAACTGTGTGAAATCACTTTTTTTGATTTGTAGAATGCCCAATGTAGTCTATCTGGCCTTTTGTGTCTAAGCAAATGTCTCTAAAGGTATATGCAGAAAAAGAAAGCAGGTATGTAGGTATGTCCTATGCAAAGCCGTTTGTTTGACCAAGAAGGGAGAACGGAGATCCGAAAAACAATAACCAAAACCCCCCGTCTATGCATCCATGCCGTCCAGCTCAATCAGCTTGATGACGGCCTTGATCACGTCACGGTCGACCTGCTCCGTCGAGCTCTTGTCGTCCGTGGACGCGTTCTTCTCCTCCTCCTCATACTCATCGGCGCCTAGTCCCAGACGTCGTGCAATCAGTCGGTCCACCATGCTGCGCAGCCGTGACACCAGAACGCCGATCCGCGCCCAGCCCCGCAGGTTCAGCCAGCCGTCGACTGTCAGGCCGCGGCCCAGAGTGTCGAGCTTGATCTCGCCCGAGAACATGAGCAATGTATATGCATTAAAGGCTGGAATGTTAGTGTAGGTACTTTTGGGCCAAGAAAAAAAAAAGACCAAGATAAAGAAAGATAAAGAAAGAAAGATAAAGAAAGAAAGGCCAGAAAACTCACGTGTCAAATCCCGGATAAACACCTTGGAGGTGGAGATGAGGGAAAAGTACGACAAGAAGGCAGCGCGGCCGGCAAAGCCCTGGCTGTCAAAGAGCGTGCTGCTCGGGTGCACAAAGACGCGGCCGTGGTCGCGCGAAAAGTAGCGAATTGTGCGGGCCTCCGGGTCAATGGCAACAGTGCCGGAGACGCTCGTGGCAAACTTTTGGTCCGGCAGCTGTATGCGGGCGATCTGGGGTGTGAACGCGGCGGCGGTCAGTGCCCGCAGCAGCAAATGGTTAGGCGGTGTTGAGCCCGAAGCGGCTTCGGTTGGCCGCCGGATGCCCAGCTCGGCCAGCGACTGGTAGAGCTGCGTGCGCGTCGACGCGATGTCCATGAGCGTCTGCACGGCCAGGAAATTGTCTTCGCAAAAGGCCTTGCTGGCCTTGCCGTAGGGGTTGCTGTCGCGCACAATCTGGTCCCACTGAAGCACGGCGCGCAGGTCCGTCAGCAGGTCGCCGTCACCAGACGTAGGCGATGTGAACCGCATGCGCGCTGCCTTGGCGAGCTCGCGTTTCTCGGGCGGCGGCAGCACAAAGGGACTCCGCCCACTCAGGATGGCGGAGACGGTGACGCACTCGTGCAGACAGCCAAAGAGCGCACCAAAGACCATGAGTTTGCCGCACCGCAGGTCGGCGGGGATGGCGGCCAGCTGGCGGCCCAGTGCCGTCAGGCGGTCGCCGTCCAGCACACCCATGCGACGCAGCAAGGTCAGTGCGCCGTCGACTGCAGCGACTTCGGGCGGGGTGGGGGCTCGGGCAAGGAACCCGGCCACGTCGACAATACCCATGGCGCGCACCGATAGGCACAGCTGCTCGAGCGGCACGCGGCGCAATTCCGGCTCGGGCCGTTCCGGCATCGTCTGAAGCTCCAAGTTGCGCGTGTACAGCTTGTAGCACTTACCGGCACGAACACGACCAGCACGACCGCGGCGCTGCTTGCAGGCGGCGCGCGACGCCCAGGTCTCCTCCAGCTTGCGCATGTTGGTCGTCGCGTCGTAGCTGGTCTCCTTGACGCGGCCCGTGTCAATGACGGCGACAATGTCGTCAATGGTGATGGACGTCTCGGCGACGTTGGTAGCCACGACGACCTTGCGGCGGCCAGCCGGTGCTGCGGCAAAGACGCGGCGCTGCTCGCGGGTCTCGAGTGAAGCGTGCAGCGGCAGAACGTGTAAGTTGTTGGCGCCGGGCCCGGTGCGCAGCTGGTTGCACACCTGGTTGATTTCGTTGGTGCCGGGCATGAAGACGAGGATACCGCCACTTTGGTTCGTGCCCGTCAGCTCCTCATCGATGGCACGCGCCGTGTCTGCCACAAGACTGTAGTTGACGCGGCTGCCGAGCTGCTGGATGATCTTGTTGATCGGGTCGTACTCGCCACCGCCTTCTTTGTCCTTGATTCCGCCGCCGCCGCCGCCGCCTCGGTTGCTGTCGCGGTACCCGCGGCCAAAGTTGCCGTCCATGCCAAAACCAGTTGCGCGAATCACGTCGTCGAGGTACATGTCGTCGACGGGGAACGTACGTCCAGCGATCTGGACCGAGCCCACCGACAGGCCCTCTCTGGCAAAGTAGTCCTTGAACGTCGATGCATCGAGTGTGGCACTCATCAGCACGAGCTTGAGGTCGGTGCGCACGCGCAGCACATCGCGCAGGATGCACAGCAAAAAGTCCGTGTCGAGACTGCGCTCGTGCACCTCGTCAATGACAATGTGGCTAACGTCAGCCAGCGAGGCCACAACGTCTTCGATGCGGCCGCCCGAGACCTGCAGGCGCCGCAGCAGCACACCAGTCGTGGCAAAGGTGATGCGCGTGCGCGCTGCAATACCGCCCGCATTGATCTTGCTCTCGCCGCGGATGACGTAGCCGACCTCGTCGCCCAGGCTGCTGCAGCGCTCTTCGCTGACGCGATCGGCCAGGCCGAGCGCTGAGATTCGCCGCGGCTGCGTCACCATAATGTTGGCGACGTGGCCGAGACCGCGGCTGTACAGGTCGTCCAGCACAAACTGCACGGCCTGCGTCGACTTGCCGGAACCCGTCTCGCCCGAGATAATTGTCACCTGGTTCGAGCTGACCGTGTCGACAACGGTCTCGCGCACGTCCCACGCCGGCAACCGACGCCGCTGCGCCAGCATCTTTTGCAGTGCCGGAGTGTCCTGGCGGTGCTGCCAGTCTTGCCGTGTGCGGTCGTCAACCTTCCACACGAGCGGTCGAGGTTTGCGCTGGTTGCGTTTTGCGGCCCGTTTCCGTGCGGCGGTGGCCAGGGCAGACGAGCGGCCCTCAGCTTCTGGATCTTCCGACGCTGCCGAGGCTGCCGCAGAAATATCACGCAAGGCGCCCGGCCGCTCGATGATGCTATTAACGTTCTGCTGCACCCAGTCGACGACAAAGTAGATCTTGGTCTCCTCGTCACGCAGCGACTCGTGCACGTACGCGAGCGTCTTCTTGATGATGCTGAGCTTGATGTAGGAGGGCAGCTGCGGTGCCAGCACGGAGATAAGCAGCTCAGCTGGGTAGTTGGACGGCCGCCGGAACTGAAGGGATGCCTCAACATCCGTCGTCTTGCCGCGGCTGGTGTTTGTGGCATGGCTGTTGACGACACCATCCAAGCGAATCTGACACATGTCGGGCGACGGCTGGCTATAGTGGTCGCTCCCATAGACCGACTCCAAGCTGGCCAGCTCGGCCGCCCAGCCCTCCTCGGGCGTATCATACGACGACAAAAGAAAGGCCGGCGTATCGCTGTCGTCCAATCCGTTGGTGCTGCTGTCCCGGCCCAACAGTATGGCTTGCAGCGCCTCGGCTGCCCTGCACTCGTCGCCGCTGTTGGCATCGTAAACCTTGCGACAGAGGTCGGCTGAGTAGCCAGATTGTGCCAGGCGCTGGATCGCAGATTCGCGACGCAAGTCGGTCGCAGCGACAGACACGCCGGCCGTGTAGCTCTCGGGCAGTGACCACGGTGGCAGGTCGTCCTCGGGCACGTGCACCAGCAACCACTCGAGCGTCTCGTCACGGTCCTTGCAGACGGCCACGGCCTCCTCGACATGGCTGCGACGGAATCCTGTGCGGCTCAGCTCGTCGACGATGCGTTTCTGCGCTTCCGCAGACAACTCGACCCCGTAGGGGTTCCAGATAGACTCGCGCCGCAGCAAGTCTTCCAGCATCGAGCGCGTCTTGCCGCCCATCTCGATCTTGGGGATGTTTGTCCAGCCACGCATGGGATTGAAGTTGCCGCCGCCGACACCGGCACCGCTACCTCCCACACCACTGCCGCTTCCATGTCCAGTGCCTCTACCTCTTTCGGCACTACCACCGCCGCCTCCATCGCTTCCATTATTTGCAAGAGTCCGTAATGCCAAGAGGCCTGCTGCGCCCGGCATGCTTGCTGCCTTCTCGCGGGCCGCCTGCTGCTCTTTGCGTTTCTTCTCAGCCGCAGCCTTGGCCAGCTCGCGGTCGCGCAGCGCAGTGAACGGATCGGCCTCGTACATCCATGCCTTGCCCTCCTTGACATCCTGCTCCTTGAGCGCCTTGAATTCGTTCCACAGGTTCTTGTAGTCGGGCGGCAGCATCATGTGCAGGTTCTTCATGCTGCAGACGCGGAACAGACCGTATGTGGCTGCAAAGTGGCGCGCCTCGAGTGCTGTCGGCTTGACGGCCAGGTGCACATGGCTTGGTGGCAGTTTGAAGGGATCCAGGCGTGTCGTCTCATTGGTCTTTGGGTTCTTGGCGCTGAGCTTGACGAACGCCGAGTAGCCGTCTTTCACTTTGCGCTGGCTGTGTCAGTAACCAGTTCGTTGCAAGATACAGACCCACACCGAGAGAGGCAAAGGACTCACAATGTCGTAGTCTGGCCGATCCCACTTTTGCTTTTGGCAGTGCTCCGACAGCAGATTGACCGGCAGCTTGCCCGTCCACGAGGACCCGCCAATGATTTGCTTGACTGTCGGTTTCGGTGGCCCGTCTGGCACGCCCTCAGAACCACCTGACGGCCCTCCTCCAGCTCCTCCTGCTCCCCCCCCTCCTCCTCCACCTCCGCGTTTGCCCTTTCCACTAGTCTCCTTCGTCGAGTTAGTGAAGACAATAAAGTCGCTATCTGGCGGCCGCGACGATGTCGTCAGCGACGAGCCGCCTTTCTTCTTGCTTCCCGACGACTTGCTCGACGCCGCCACGGCCGGTACTGGCGTGCTGCTGCCGCTGCCGCCGCCCTTGTCTTTGCCCTTTTTAGGAGGCATCCTGCCGCGGTTTGTGATGGAGCGCCTGCTGCATGGGTGGGTGGGACGGACAGAGAAATCGAGTCGAAACAGTCTCCGTTATCAGATTGTCCGAGCTTCGAGACTCGCTTCGTCAGTTGTCGGCGAGAGCAGTCGTCACCGTGTGCCGTCGGGTGTTGTTGATATGTCTCCAGCTATTTTTTCAGAGGCAAGAATTTCGGTCGTTTTTATCTAATCGACTTCTGTGTTTGGCCACTTCCCACATTCCCCTCCAAAATTACCAAAAATGGCCAGCCCGTCGGTCGCGCCTGCCTTTTTACAAGCTAGACGGAAACAGCGACCCACCAGCGTCATAGCTTGCCTCCCTGCTTCCTTTTGTGGGGTGGACAGCGCCTTGGGGTCCAGTCGGGCCTTCCCCAAATGTTGAGCTCGTGAGCTCAACGTTTTGTAGCGGCAATCGCCTAAAACGCTCTTTCCCCATATGTCGTACTCCGGTGGCTCAATATCGAAAGGGTCCTCGAGCTCTGGCAAAACTCGTTCATAGTTGGCCTCGTTTACATATTTTTACATATTAAAGCATGTCGACACCTCCAAACGCATGCCCCGGATTGCGCCTGGCCGTCCGTTCTTTTATTTCCACTGCCGCATACACACGGTTCTCAGAATCGACTGCAATCCCAGATCCGCAACATGACCACAATAGACACCGGAAGCCTGCGGGCTGTTGATAACGACGCAACAAACACAGACAACCAACAGCGGCCAAAAGATGCCTGTAAGACAGCTCTTTTTCATTCTTTTTTGTGGTGCCTGTTGTTTTTCTATGTCTCCAGGTCTACGCTCCCATTACTAACCCAACAAAAGTCTCCCAACTGATGGCTTCAAAGGGCAAGCCGAAGCCGAAACAACGGGCACGGGGCGCCTCGTTTCGTGCCATTGCCGACGCCGGGTTTCGCAAGTTTCAGAGCCGTGAAGCCCTCGGCATGTACATTGACAACCCGGGCGCCTACATGGGCTCCAAGACGTACGCCAGCAGCGACCCCAAAACCGCGCTCTCCGTCGCAGGGCAGGTCATATACTACTCGGACAACTTTGTCGCCATCCACGACAAGTTCCCCAAGGCGTCCGTGCACTGCTTGTTGCTGCCGCGCGACCCCCGCTTCTACCAACAACACCCCGTCTTTTTGCTGAGCCGCCGCGACGACATCGGCAAGGCATTCCTGCACGCCATCCGCGCCGAGGCCGAGAAGCTGCGTGCGATTGTGGCGGCCGAGCTACGGCGGCGGTTCGGCAAGTTCAGCGCGGCCGACGCATTGCGAGAAGCCGTTTTGCGCGGCGAGGCCGATGCCCCGGGCGGCGGCGACTCGCCCTCACAACAGCTACCGGCCGGCCGTGACTGGAGCAAGGACGTCGTGGTGGGCGTGCACGCGCGGCCCAGCATGAGCCACTTGCACGTCCACGTCTTCTCGCGCGACATGCACAGCGAAAAGGTGCGGCACCGCAAGCACTACAACTCCTTCACGACGCCGTTCCTCGTGCCACTCGACGAGTTCCCGCTGGCCGCGGACGACCCGCGGCAGCCGCACGACGCACGGATGTTCGGCAGTGGAGCGTACCCAGGGACAGGCGAGGATGCCGGGGATGTCAACGACAGCGGCGAGGACAGCGGCGGCGAGATGGACGTGGACAGCCGGGGGGCTGTGAGCCGCCCACCACACCACCACCTCAACTATCTGCAGAGCGACATGAGGTGCTGGCGGTGTGGTAAGAACTTTGGCAACCGCTTCCAGGAGCTCAAACGGCACTTGGACGTGGAGTTTGAGGCTTGGAAAAGGGAGTAAGACTCGGCCAGTTTGGGGGCATACGATGCGCAGAGGAAGTGGTAGAACTGACAACGAGCATGTTTCACAGTACCGGAATTTAGCACACTTTATTTTTTTTTTTTTTTTTTTTTTTTTTTTTTTTTTTTTTTTTTTTTTTTTTTTTTTTTTTTGCATGTGTATGATTCAAAGGTAAACGGGTGGTTATATGGCCACGAGATGCTTTCGTAACTAGGCTTTTTCATCATGTCCTCCAACAGGGAAGGCGAACGGAGACGATTGTAACTGCGAACACGGTAAATCAACAACAAAAATATCACACAGGTTTTTCGCGAGACAACAGAGCACTGCAAGAGTCTCGCCCTCATCACGCTTCAAACAACATAGCCCATATTCCATCCAGTACAAGACCATCGCACGGCCACAAACGACGTTCCGCTCAGGCTGCTTTGAGGACACCACAATCTCTCCTTTCCAGCCATCCCATTCGTCGCAAAGGAAAACCAAAATTCCGCATGAACGCCAGTGCCACCGAGTTGATAACAAATGTGGGAACATCCGCAACATAAAACGGTGCGAAGAAGTCAAAGTGACAAAAGAGACAACGGTCAAAAGAAAGCACACGTAGGAGATACACAGAAATTAGGAAAAGAATAAACGAACAAGGCACCGCAGACGAAGCCGAAGAGAGACGAGGCACAACTAGAATATCCGACGGATGGCGCTCATAACACGGCCTTTGCCCCATCCGGGCGTTTTCGTCGCTAGCAGAAGGGGGAAAGAGCAGAGTCAGCGCACGCCGGCCTTTTTTCCATTGGTTTTTTTTTTTTTTTCGTTTTTTGGGGAATAGTGAAGACAATGTCTGTACCCGTCATGCTGCTGCCTTCCATGTCTCCTATTTTGCAACCCCGTCTCTCTTCCTTGTGTGCTGAGGTTTGTTTGTATATGCTTGGCCGTTCGCGAACGAGAAATATTCGAAGAAGAGTCCGAGGTCATAAAGCGGACGGTGGTTGATAAAGAGATCAGCCAAAATGCGGAAGCGCACACAAACTTGGAAAACCAGGCGAAACAACGCGAGAATAAAACAGGATTCTTGAGCCACGAGGAAGGGCGAGAGACAAGAGGAAGAAAAGGAGACAAGAGACGACTCACGACACCACATGAGCGAAGACCATCAACATGCAGGGGGAGAGCAACAGAAGCAGGTAAAACGAGAGAGACAGAAGCTGAGCGGAGAAGAGGTCCCCTCCCCTCTGTCGTCTGTTCTACCTGGTCTCCCACTCTCTCGTCTCCCATTTATGTTCTTCACTTGCCTCTCGCGCGTTTCGTTCATGACTCACCGCTGTCCTCGTCGTCATCCGCACCGTTGGCCTTGGCCTCGCTATCGTCTTCGTCGTCGTCATCGTCGTCATCGTCGTCGCTACCGTTCTCGTCGGCAGCCTCCTTCTCGAGCCGCTCGGCCTCCAGCGCGGCCTTGCTTTTGCGGCCACGCTTGCCGGGGGTCTTGGCGGCAGAGACAGCAGCCGCTACACTGGCCACTGCGGCAGCGGTGCTGGTGGCCGCCTTCTTGGTCGAGCCGACAGGGCGGCCGCGGCCGCGACCAGCGCCGGGGGTGGAGGGCGCCTTGGGAGCGGCGGTCTTCTTCTGTGACGGGTCCTTGGGCGGGCGGCCGCGAGGGCGGCCGGTGGGCACGTAGACCTGAGTCTTGCGCAGAGCCGGGTCCATCTTGGGACGGCCACGCTTTCCGGAGCCTTTGCCGCCGGGCTTGGTGACTTTGGCGGCGTCTTCCTGGGCCGGTCGCGTCGAGTGGGTCTTGGACGCGTCGTCCTGTGCTGCGGCTTTGGGGGGCATGGCGGAAGAAGTGTGGGATGTTTTGGACGAGGAAGAGGTTGGGATCAATGAGACGACGGGTACGGGAGCAAGCTGAGGAGCGCGAGGTAAAGGAGTGTGAGGTAACGATATAAAAATGAAATAAGAAAGTGGAAATAAAAGTTATAGGTGGAAAAGAAAAGAAAACTGCGCGTTCCGTTTGCTCTTGTTTTGCAACAGTCGCAACGAATTGGTAGGCTTTGCTTTGGACCTTTGCCCTTTTCTAGGCGTTGTAATTTAAATGGGCAGGCTGGGGTTAGGTCGCGTCGCAGCACGAGCACGGTTGGCTGTCTGAAGCTTCAGTGGAGCAAAAGCCTGGGGTGGGAGCACAGCTTGGGGGTGGGTAGGTGTGAGTGGACGTGTGAGTGGACGTGCGAGAGACGTTAAAAATAGTAAGATAAATAATCTCTTTGGAAAATGGGCTGTCGCCTGTTCCCGGCGAGGAAAATTGCTAGAAAATCCGCAGGTTTTCGGTTTGCGCTCGACCGTTGCAATTTTCGTAGTTGATATGGTGAGAAAAAGGGAAAAGAAGAAAGAAGGGATGAGGGGGGGAAGAAAAAAAGCAGAAAGAAAAGAGACAGAGAAAAAGGACAGGGGCAAATGGAATAAATAAAGTGAAATAAATACTGCGTAGAGTATTACTCCGCAGAATAAACGGGAAAGACCAGAATGGCCGCAAGAGGCCAACGAGGAGTGGAAGGCAGGAGCGAAAGGGGGGGGGGAAGGAGTGAGGGAGGGAAACCGAGAAGAGGAAGGAACTGGGGGAAACACAGCAGGAAACAAGTGACAGGGTAGCTTCAGGTAGTCTCAAAATAGCGGGAAGGTGCAAAGGTACGGACGCAGGTCGGTGGTGGTGGGTGGGATTTAGCGGGAAAATGAAAATGCAATAATTTAAAATCAGAAAAATAGAGGGAATTTAAAAAAGGAATTATTCCAATCAGGAGGTGGAAAATAAATGGAAATAAAGCCGTAAAATAAATGATAAATGGAAAAGCGATCAAAACGGAAGAAGACGACAAGGGCGGGAGGCAGAGAGAAAGAGGGCGAGTCCAATACAGCATGAGGAGAAAGCCGGCAAATAAATAAATAAAAAAGAAATAAATAAATCCATTAAGAAAATAGGCACAAGAGAACGTAGTAATACACGTACAGAGAGAGGGATACACGTTCTCATGTAAGAAAAACACAGCAGACCAGAGACGCTGTGCCTTATCAGGCGCAGCATACCACCCCTTTGCCTGATGCTGCTGGCGCCCTAGTTATTGTGAAGTCGTCTTAAAACAGAGGAAGGGAGAGATGGGGGACGAAGGCACAAAGTAGGGGGCATGCCGTAATACGCCGTGGTAGAGAGACGATCCGGCACGAAAATACCTTGGGCAAAAGAGGAGAATCTGGCTCCGAGCAGGCGCAGGAGCGCGTGTGGAAATACAAAAGATAAATCAAACCGGATTACAGAGCATTCCGTAGATGTCGAGAATAAATTGCTAAATAAAATGGAATCAGTAGCTGAGTCTACCTGTACCAAACACGCAGGGGCAGCAAAATGGCAAGATCAAAGGGACAAAAAGAAGAAGGGAGGGTACGAGGCAGAAAGCACGCCAGGAAACGGTAAAGAGCATGCCTGTTTCACGCCATTGAGCAGGGCAGTGGGCACATCGCTTCCCATGTCTACAAAGGCGTTCCGAGGACTGCCTGACACTGGGGGGGGGGGGGGGGGGGAGATGGGCGTCGCACGTATTCCGTACTCTGCATGGAACACTCCATGTCAAGGAAGACGTAAGTAGATTTCGTCAGCGGGGTCCTCGTCCTCGGTTTGAGAAAGGGAACCCTCGCTCCTCTCTCTGTCTCTCGTTTATTTTGCCTTCAATTTAATTCTGTCGGAAATGCAGTAAAGCGTGTCGACACGTCGGCTGAGGCTGAAACCGTACATCCCTGGCATTGTGTCTCATTCCCTGCTGCGTTATTCTTCTCAATAGTATTTACTGCCATTTTCTTATTGTATTTGTCTTTTTGTCACGTCTCCTTTTATTCCATTCCGTCCATTATTGCTAGGAAATCAACAACATTTCCTATCAACCCATATTTGATATGTCATGGAACTGCGCATAATCAGACCTCGGAAGCACGTCGTAGATGTAGATCAAGGTTAAATGGGCGGCCCAAAAAAGTGACTAGTAGACGATGTGGGAAGACACTCGATTCAACATTAAAACGCACTCTGCATAGCCATACTATATTTAGACGAAAACGCACGTGGAATCCCTGTAACCTTTCGACAATACGAGTGACATGCGCATCTTTGTATGATGCAGGTGTATCTCGAAATAATATTTTGTTTAAAAATGTGGTTCAACTAGTTGACACAAGTGAAGGAGGAAGCCATCGGGCAACGTTGCCATGCCAGTGTAAAATAAAATATAAGGGCATGTCCGTCCAAGGACACTGCCGCAGATAACGTGTTGAAGTAATCAGTGATATGGACAAGAGTCAAAAGCAAATCCGGCGCTTTTCTAACTGACTATATCGTATGCCGTCTTTCCTCATGCGACCAAAGAGAAAGGACGATCCGTCAAACCCAGTCCGCGGGGACGAGAGACAGAAAAAGCGGTTGAGACGCAATAAAATACAAGTACCAAATCTTTATAAGAAAAAAAAACAGGTGAAAAGAAATCCTCGCCAAATTCAAAGACAACCGAAAAGTAAAAGAGAGAAGAAAAAAATAACGCCTTCCAATATGTGATATCGATCTGCAGGTATATGTGCCACGAGCGCAATGTATAATGGGGGTCATCAAGTCCGGTGAAGTATACAAAGGAAAGAAGATATACTGAAAAGGAAGCAGAGTCTCAACAAAGCAGGTAACAAATGAGAGTCATAAAGGCTGGTTGTAAATAAAAACCAAAATGAGTGACTGAAGTTCGTTGTAAAAAGAAATGCAAGGATTAGGGGCCTAGTTGGTTTGCGAAATGGTCGCCGTGCCATTCGGAGGGTGTGCCGGATCCTCAGCCGCGTTCGGTTTGACCTTGACTCGGCCCTCGATCAAAGCACTGCGGACGCGCTGGCTGAGTGGTAGCGAATACCGCAAGACACCCTTGATAATGAGGTCGAACTCGTCGTCAAGAATCCGCTCCCAGCGCTCCGAGCCACCGTCTGTACCGTTACCCGGACGCCTGATACGCACGCCACTTCTGGATGTAGATAGGCCGTGGTGGAAGAAGGATCCTTCAAAGGACAATGGGTTGTCGAACTTGGTAAATCTGCCCAGTAAGAAATTCGGCGAGCTATCGGGCTGGTCCCGCGGTTCGTTATCCAAGACGCCAAGGTGGGTGCTGTTGTCGCTGTCCTCGCCGCGAGCGTCGTTCGTGTGAACAGAGTGGCCGTCAGGATGCGGGCGCCGCCACCATTCAGAATCGGTTCCAGCATGGGGCGACTTGGCAAAGACCTCCATGTCGGCCGAGTCCACGGAAACCACAACCACGTTGGGGTTATGTGCGCGTACCATCAGGTCGAACATCAGTTCCTGCTCGCTGGCAAGCACGCTGCTAATTTTAACCAGCTCGATATCCTCGAGCGGCTGGGACGTCGCAAACATGAAACCAATCGCGCCTGAGATCACAAGCATAAGCATGACGGTCAACACCAGGCAGCTGGCAAAGCGGTTCAAGAACGATGGTGCCGGATGCTGGTACGACTGCTGCTCCAGTGATCGTAGCGACATGTGATTGCGGCGTGAACGGGAGGCGCGGCCCGGGCCGCGCACCGATGAAGATATCAGAGGTGTTCGCTCGTCGTCGGCCTGACCAGGTGTCGTGTCGTCCATATCGTAGCCAAAGGTTCCGTTACCAAAACCTCTCTTCTGCGAAAACGCTCCACCATTGCCCCGGCCGCTACCACCTGACGGTCGTGGGCTGCTGGCGCCCCCTGCCTGGCGTAATGTGGCGCCGTTGGCCGCACCGCTCACAGACGTTTTGAGTCGGGAGCCCGAATGGACCGGGAAAGGCGACTCACTGTCGAGAATAGACTGGTGTCCGTTCTTCGGTCCATTGAGGCCCCATCGGCCAATGTGGCTACCGCTAGCCCCGACATGGTGATGGAGGCGGGCAGTGCCGCGGCCAGACCCGGGTGTCACGCCGCGGATCGTAGCCGTGTTGGTTTCGTCATCGCCGCCCACACCACTGTCGTTACCGCTGCCGCTGCCAAATGTGTTGACAAACTTCATGCCCTTTTTGACCGCTGCACTCGGGCCAGCACCCTCGAGGATGCTGTGGATCGACCGCATACCATTCTGGTTGTTGGCCAGGGACGTAGCACTTGGCGTCCGTGAATGATGGAAGCGGTGAGGGCGGTCACGGCTATCTGCCGGATTCGAATCGTACACAAACGTCTCTTCCGAGTCGGATGTGTTCGCCTCGTCGACAGCGCTCGCCACCTTGGCCTCAAAGATGTCGGCCTTTGAGGTTGCTGTACGCATGTTAGCACCATATATTTACAATTGTATTGGTTTCATACTTTCAAGTAACGTACCGGTGCCAGGTGGGACAGCTGACTGTTTCCGTGCCGTCTTCTTCTTTTCCTTCTTGGGCCGGATAGTTTCTGAACTTGGCTTCGTGCGCAAACTGCCGTTCGGGCCTTGGGCTGCGCTGGGGCCCAGAGCAACATTCGGGATCGACGTTACCGTCTCGGTCTCGACGGTCATCGTGGGCTGGGACGCCTCGCCCGACTTGCCTTTGCCGGACAATTTGACGGTGCTCGAGTTACGGGGCGCAAGAGGTGGCGGTGCAGATCCCGATGCTGCTGTGCGCCGGTTGTTCTTTGTGCTTCCGTTCTCACTCCCACTCTCATAATTTTGGGAGGCGAGCTGGCGCGCTCGAATCGTCCGTGCGGGGGACACCTCGGCGACTTCAGGCATTGTTGTGGTAGTGCCAGCATCAGATGTTACACTGGCAACCTCAAGCTTCTCCATTGCCGCATCAACGGCACGGGAGGAGCCAGCCAGAGGGCTGGCCTCCTGCACAGTTTCGAGCGTTGGCACATTGCCGCTTACGCCGCGCACGGGAGTGCGCATGCCCGGCTGAAGGTACAGGTCCTCGGCTTCGCTGTCGGAAGGAGCGGGCGCGGCGTCGAGTGATGGCGATGCAGCGGATGTGCGCTGCAGGTTGATCGAGGGGATATCGGAGGTTGTCGCAGACGCCGGGAGGTTAGGCCGGTTGAGGACGGGAGGAGGCGAGCGTAGGCGTGGAGAGACAGGCCACCGCGGATTGTCACGTGGCTGTTCCGATTTCTGGGGTCCGGGCGCGCGAGCGGTGGGCGCATCGGATGCGGTCGGAAGAAGAGTGGGGATTGTCGAAGAGGCGAGAGTGGCAGCCTTTTGCGTCGCAGCCGCGGGCTTGCTGGTTCGACTTCGTGACGGGCTCGTCTCTTGCTGGCTGTTTCTGCGCGACCGAGTCGTGGGTGTTGCTGAAGCGGACGGTTGCGGGGACTGTTTTGAAGATGTGAGAGGAGCCGGTGGCGGTTGTGCTGGTGTCGGCGCTGCGGATGTGGCAGCTGCTGTGGCTACTTTCATGGCGCTGTGCGATCGTGCAGAGGGACGGGCGGGTGACGGCTCTCGTGAAGCAAACGGGGATGCGCTGGCAGATGTACCAGCAGACACAGATGGAGAAGCCTGTGTCATCTGTTTTGTGGTTTGTGCGAGATCAAGTCTCCGCATCGAGGTAGCAGATGATTCGCGGACAGGCGTGGGGCGTGGGATGTGTGCCTGGTTGGCAGACGCGCCATTTACGGCATTGGATGACCTGTCCATGTCGGGTTCAGTGTCGTGGGATAATGGAGCACGATACGTTGAGTGTTTTGTTTGGCTGAAGGGCCGTTCTCGAGGAGGGCTGCGGGCGTTGCCTGAGTCAAATGTCCCAGATACGCTGACGCGTGCGCTCGTCTCTCAGCTGGAATTGCGACGTTCGAATGGTAGCACAGTCTGGATCATGATATCATATTGTGGTTCCAGGAAACGAAGACGAGGTGGGCGCGTAGGGCGGTCGAGCGTTGAGAAGAGAGTGAGCACGTTCGTATGGCCAGGTATGTCCGCAGTGAGGTCAGTCTGCAAACTGTTCTGGCTGGGCAGCAGGAAATAGAGTGGCTTGCTGGTCTGTTGGCTCTGACCGTCAGTGGTTGTCGTCGAGTCCGTTGGGGCAGAAAGCAGACGGTTTGACGACAGACGGACAATGGGGTCGTGGACAGCGATACTGGGACGATGGAAAAGTACGAGCCAAAGCGACGGGAAAAGATGGAGACGGAGCAAAGAGACAAAGAAAGGCCGCAACCAAGACGGACACAGCAAAGAGAAGAAGGCGAATGGGAGGACGAGGCGGCGCGAACTGTAGACTGTAGACCGTAAAATCTGTAGAAAGGGAACAGTGAGAACGTCTTAAACGGGTTGGGCCTGGATAACAGAGGCCTTGGAGTGCAGGACGATAGTCGCGGATGTCCGTTGGGCAGCGTTGGGTATGTTGCGTGGAGAGACGAGAAGGCAAATGGGAGAAAAAAGATGCTGGAAAAGGAGGAGTGGGCGCGGGAGACGAGAGAGGGAAGGCAATGGGGAAATGTATGTATGCGTTGTTGATGTGACGCTTTCGTGCGTGTGTTGACGAGGAAGGGACGTTGTCTGCGTTGGCAACAGAATTTGGCTGGCTGAGAGGAAACGGAAGGAGCGCAGTACTTGTTCAGCGTGGCACTAGCGCTGTGCGTCGCTGTCTCGCCTTTGCACAGTAAAGTGCTTCTGCGCTGCGTAATAAAAAGTGGACCCGGTCCAGACGGGACCTTAATATTTGGTAGAGACAGGGCCTGGCGGCGTGTGGGAGCCATGGAGTGTGAGAGGGGGCGCTATTTTCGAACGGTGGAAACCATGGGGTTTGGGCGTCTGGGCTTGTGTGCGTGGATGTCGCACAGTGTGAATCAGTACACACGGTGTGACTGATGACAACCAACAGCGCCGAATCTGGTCTGTTTGTTTGTTCCTGCCCTGTTGCCTTAGTTGTGAGTCGTCCGACCCAGTAAATGCGCAATGGAACGCGGAAGGAGCTACCTGACGACTACTCGCTCGAAAAGCTCCGCGATTTTTAGACGGAAATCAAGAAATGAGGCAATGCACACTCAACAACGGGCAAGGAAGTGGGCGAGGGATATTGGAAATGGCAGCAACAATTCAGAGAGTCCTCGGCGAGTCGCTGGTAAAATTCCCTGCAATAGCCCTGACAGTCGGCACGTCACCACTTGTGTTGGGAAAGTGAAACGGAGCGAACCATCCGTTTGCGCCTTCCCTGCGCTAAGCCTGCAAGCCGCTCCTTCCCCGAGCGACGTTGGAGGTGCCACGCTGCCTGACTGCGGTCGCGCTTGCCATACTTGCCAAGGCACAAAACAAACCCAACCAAACACACTCTTTGACTTCCTCACTCCGTCCGTCCCTCTTTCCCTTGCGCAAAGCAGCAGCCTGTCGTCACTTCCCCATCTCGACGGCACCAAACGGCGAGGAGAAAGAAGGGTAAACTTTTCAGAGCACGGAAAGAACGACGAACGGCAGGCGCAGAGACAGGAAAATAATCTAGGACGTATGCACATGCACGGTCAGCGCAACGGACTGGGAATAATGCCGTCATCGACTCGGTCCTTCCCTTGTTTTTTGCCTTCCTTCCCCCCTGTTGCAGTGCGCAAATGGGCCAAATGGGCCAAATGGGCCAAATTGCGCCGTCTGTTCCGTAATGAACGCTGTCGGTGAGAGGTTTTTACTGGGGCGTTTATATCCGTCTCAAACGTCGCCTTGTTGAAAAGGTTCTCACGTTTATTGACTCCTCTTCTTTCGTATTCCAGCCCCCTGGCGCCGCAGACAAGACCGCCGAGTACACGTATCGCATGCAGCCTTCCAGAAGCAACCCCCGGAATCCGCTAATCTTAGTACAGGGCTGGTTCCTGCCTGCTACATCGGCAGAGCAGCACAGTACTTTTATTCCGACGTATTTTATATGGCATCATTCGGTACCTTTGGCAAGAACCTCTGTACCAACGGTTGACCGCAGATTCCAACCTTTTTTAAAATCTTTTTTTCTCCCTTGTTTCTCTCTTTTAACCGCACTTGCAGAAGGAGGTCTTTTCTGCTTCCAGCTATTTCGAGGACGTTTGCTGTTGAACCTAGCCCGACGAGCCTGACTGATCTGTTTTGTTGTAATTACATCGTCCCTGGCACTCTTTTCCCCCTTTCCCCCATTTTACTAGCGAATATTGTTGTCTACTGTGGTTTTCTCGTGACAGTGAGCAGCTGACCTTTACTTTTTTTTTTTTTTTTTTTTTTTTTTTTTTTTTTTTGGGCCACCCCTGTCGCTTTTCCGTCCTACGAAGTATGGTCCCGAATTCTATTGCTACTGGGCTGTTGCTTATCTGTCTCCCTTCTCTTTTCTTTTTCCTCTTCTGCCGCTTGTTCCATTTGCTCTACCGGACCGCTCCCTTGCCCTTGTTGTTGTGGTTTTTTCATCCACGTTGCCGGCTCCACTTTCACCTTGCTATTTCCCTGTCCCTTGTCTCGGCCTGTCCCAATTACTGGAACGACCGACGGAGAATAATACTCACCGCTTCCCTGTTGCAAATTGACCACCTGAGGACGTTGCCGAATCGAGGTAGTGGTAAAATTGCTTCGAGGGAGGGACGTGTTTGTTTCTGTTGCCGCTTTTTGTTGGGAAGGTGGCTGGCCATACATTTCTCACAGGGTTTCTCACCCTCATATGCGATGTATGTGACCACTTTTATCCTCCAACAAGTTAACACAATTCTCGACATGTACTCCGTACGCAGTGTCATTTAAGGCATAAGCGCGTGTTACTGGCAACACACACAGTAAATACCCCATCTGCCCATATCCCATCTAGAAGCTTGCCCCTTCGGTGTGCTTCTTGAGATGAACGGGGCGAAGTGATGGACATAGCTTAATCTTGCAAGGCGTATTTATGAAAAGGGAACGACAGAGAGTGATAGCCTACCCATTCTGGTGCGCGCTATGAACTGCACCGTTGACTGTTGCCTATCCAGATTCGCACCAAAACTGTGACAGGCTCAGATTCGCCTCATGTCGGATGCAACCGCCGAATACAGGAACATGCTCTCTATTAGGGGAGCTCATGATATGGGATTGCAAGGTATGGAGTTACAACCTATCGTACGTCTTACGGGTCCGCGACTTGCCGACCGTTGCAACAAAAAAGAAAGAGAAAACCGGGGAGGGAATTTGAGATAATTAAATGAACACGACAGCGATGGAGCAGTAAAATTCAAACCTCTTAGGAGGAGGAGGCGGTCAGCCCATCAAAAGACACCGACATCACCATGAACGGATGGGAAGCTGCTCAAATGGACAGAGTGAGAGGAGAAGAAACACTCGTGCTTGACGATGGGAGGGCAGAGAGTTCACCAGAGTCCACACTGCAGGCACGGCTGGTTTCAGCCTCTCACAGGTGGCGACGTGGCACAATATGACCAACGCATCATAGAAGAGAATAACCGGTTCTGCTTGCTAAGGCGTTCTCGAAGCACATTTCCCATCAACCCTGGTGTGTCTTTCATATGTGGTCTTTAAAATGGTGCGGCGGAGTTCCGTAGCAAGAACGTGACATGCAATGACTTTCTAGCTCGACATCATAATGCGACGTAAAACAATGTCCAATAAAGACACTCGGCGAATTGCGAGCCTCGCGCCATTTACGGATTTTAACAACAGTGTCTTGAAAAAACTGCGGTAGAGAAGTTTTCATCTTCTGGGCGGTTCTTTCTTCGACTTTCGCTTCTGTGTGACCATTCTGCGCATCGCCTTCAGCCGAACCGGTCACAGCATAAGGCGATGAACAAGGCCAGGCCAGCCGATGACGATGTATTTTTGGAAGCAACACGTCAGTTACTTTGTTGAGACGATATTGCCTGGTCGATTTCCGCACTCTGTGACTATACATGTACCACCAACGCATACCCCAAGGCTTGTCCACTGAGTTCGTGTTACGCCTGTGACTGCAAGGACATCTGCACCGCGACCGAGATGGCTTGGGCAGCTTCGCGATGGCCTCACAACTCAGCAACAGAACCCATATGTTGACACATCTGCCAAATTGGTATTCAACTAGGAAAAGACTTTTAAGCGCCCGAGAGGCTCGTCTAATAAAGGCTGATATTTAGTCAAAACGACAGCTGACGGGCGAGAGATACTAGCAACACGGCTACCGTTGGATGTTGAGTCTTTGCTCTTCCGTTGACGTACACTGGAGTCTTCGTCACTAACAACCGATTTTGACAACGGTAACTGCACGTGATAAAGTCTTTGTCATCATCACGTGAACTTTTGTCGAATGCCCTAAGCATGAAAATACAGTGGTCAGGGGCAGGCCATAGCCCTGAGCCAGTTGCCTACAGGTGCCAAGAGCAATATCACAGACACGCAGCCATTCATGTCGCCCGGGCGTACATCACGGTTGATGTCGCATCCTTCCCCTCAGTGTTTGGTGGGGTCAGAATGTGAGGCCAAGATTGCAGTCATGGCCTTTCACATGAGTAACGAAGAAAGAGACAAGGAGAGCCTTGCGCTGGCATATGGAAGGAATGGCTCTTGTCTTAGAACAGGAGGGGGGCAAGGCAGGAGCCCATCGAGGCGCATTGTCGCTCTTTGTTTAGAAGGAGCGACAGGGCAACAAAGTGACGAAAACAGAAGGCAGACTGGGCAGATTTAAAACACAACCCCTCTATTTGTGGACTGTGTGTCATCGCGGCCTTAGCCAATCGCCACCCGCCTCTCCCCATTTTTGCTCTGCTCTTATTTATTTTTTTAAACACCAGCCGAGACAGCCAGTCCAAAGCCAGCAAAAGTCACTATTTAAGTGCTTTTTCTTAGGAACATCGTTTCTTCCTATATCCCTCCACTTGGGAGAACGAAATCATCGCCAAACCGACTGCACACAGACACCGTTGATTACCACGAACAGTCAACATGCCGAAGAACAAGGGAAAGGTACGTTTCCTTTTCATCTGCTCACATTTCCAGCCAGTTTTCGAATCTTGCGGCTAACCGTTTCGCTTTCTAGGGAGGTAAAAACCGGCGGCGGGGTAAGAACGAGAGCGACAAGGACAAGCGCGAACTCATCTTCAAGGAGGAGGGCCAAGGTACGTGACGACCACAAGAGGATGAGATGATGCCGAGGAGGGACACCGTTCTCCTTTTTGGCAGTCAGGAGCCTCTGCTGACTCGTCCGCAGAGTATGCCCAGGTTATCAAGATGCTCGGCAACGGCCGTCTGGAGGCCCGCGCCTTCGACGACAGCGGCACCATGCGACTGGCGTCGATCCGCGGCAAGCTTCGCAAGAAGGTTTGGTAAGTTTGTGCACACCGAATTCCATGAAGCCTACCACTCTGTTTTGACTCTTGTCCGGGGTTAAAGCGGGGAAGCAGGACGTGTTTCTAACCGTGCCACAATTTAGGATCAACACCGGCGACGTGATTCTCCTGTCCCTTCGCGAGTTCCAGGACGGCAAGGGCGACGTTATCCTCAAGTACTCTTCTGAGGAGGCCCGTAACCTCAAGGCCTACGGTGCGTTCAACCTGCGATGCTGCTGTTGTCCTTGTTGTTGTTCATGCGGGGCATGGTGCTGGCCTGTTTGGGTCGTGTGCTCATCGTCTCCACATCAACACAACCGTGTATGCATACATGCATACATAAAACATGCACATGCACACGTGTAACTAACATCCATAGGCGAGCTTCCCGAGCACGCCAAGATCAACGAGACCGACACCTACGGCGACGGCGGTGAGGGCGACGTTGGCTTCGAGTTCGACGAGGAGCGTGACGAGAGCAGCGACGAGGGCGGCAACGCTGGCGATATCGCCATCGACGACATCTAATCCCTTTCCCTCTTATAGGAGAAACGGAAGACAAGAGTCGTTTACCAGTACAACAGAACGTGGAGGCTGCGAACCTTTGCAGTCTAGGGATTAAAAAAAAGGAATATTTTGAACAACTCGCCAACAGCGGCCACCACGACCGTCCCCCCACTCAAACGTTGAGGGAGGGTCGTCGACCTAGGCCCTACAAAAATTACTACCGGGAAGGACGACAAAGTGCAGTGCCGTCCCGCAAACGATCCCGCTTGGATGGAAGCCATGACAAGAGCAGCGCGAACCTTCTGGTTCTAGCTCGCAAGCAGCTTCGAAGCAGAACAGTTGCTTGGAGGGGCGTATCCTGCCTCGTCTAATCTTTGTTTACAAGCTGGTGCCGCGTCAAGCACGGGGGTCGGAAGATCACAAAAGCTTACGACTAGTAACGATGAACAGAAACTGAACAGAAATGGAAGAATATCACTTCAATACATGGCCTTTATTCGCTCTCGGACCTGTGTAATATTTTTGTCCTTTTTTGGTTTGGCATTACAGATGTTCGTCTTTTTTCTTCGTTGCCTGTATTTATTGACCTTCCTTTGATTTGGCAAGCGGACATTGCGTTGTGGTCTGGAGAGGACAATGCGGTTTCGTTATTATATATATACTAAAAAAAACCCCTTGGACGAAGAAATGATGGTCATTGTTGTCTTCACTCACATTGATATGCGACGTAAGAAGTGAGTTACGTACATTTTAAAAAATGATATGTAATATTATTACAGTCTGTCGGTAGTCGCCATTTTACATCTCATTGTGATATCCTGCAGCGGTGTTATTTTTCTTTATTGTTTCGTTCGTCATATACAAAGTCCAAAATAAAATGAGCCTCCCAAGAAAAAGACCACGTTCCGTCTCATACCTCGTAAACAGAATAAAAACTAGTAAAAGGGAAGAAGCGAAAATAAATAAATAAACTGATAGTTAAGAAGACGGTTAGAAAGGTTTACGACAGAGCTTCTCAGAATAAACGTAGGCGAAGCTACGTCCATACTCTCAGTCATGATATAAAAAGGGTATCCAACCAGTTGTGCAAAAGAGGGGCATGAATGGAAGAGAAGAACAATAAAATAACGCGAACATCATGTCGGCTTGGCGACTCCAATGCTACGTGGGAAGCAGCGAAAGATAAAGAGTGCTCTACTCCTGAATCGGTTCCGCCGTGGTGGGCATGCCAGTCAGCGTCGGCGTGCCGTTGCTGCCGGGTGCTGTAGCGGACCCGTCTTCCTTCTTTCCCCACCAGCCCATCCAGCTTGCGCGCTTGTTAGCGGTCGGCGTGACGCTGTCTGTGTTCTCCTGGACCAGTCGCAGGGGTCGTGGCTTGGAGCCCGTAAAGGCCGTTTTCTCGTGGACAGGACGCGGCGGGCTGTTCTGGTTGTTTGATGACGACTGTGGCGGCGACGTGTCACTGCCGGTGCCGCCGCTGGCCCGCTCGCCAGACGCTGAATCGCCCGAGACGCTGGACGTTTCACTTCGCATGCCGGGGAAGTTTCCGCTAGCGCCGTTACCGCCAGGTGAGCGAGCGCCGCTTCCGGATCCCGAACCGGCACCACCACTGGACACGGCGTACGTACCGCTGCCAAAGAATTGTGAGCTACGCAGGCCGGGTGACAGAGGACCGTCAACACCGCCACCTTTGTACATGGCGTTCACGACAGAGGCAGCAGAGGTGCCGCCGCCGCCCGCGCCGGTGAACTGTTCGCTCATGGGTCGTATGGGCCGTCGCATGCTGGTGGTGCGGGTTAGGGAGATGGGAATCGAGGGCGCGGTGTCTGGATTGCTCATAACCGCCTCGGGCATGTAGGACACAGGGCGAGGACGCTTGGTTGCTGCACCTGCAGCTGCTGCCGGCTCCGATGAACGGGAGGTGATCGATTTGGTGCGCTGGAGGAAGGACTGGATGGCGCTGGGCTGTGGTGTTGTTTGCTGCGGCTTTGGTGGAGGCGGCGGGGGCAGCTCCTTGTCCGTGTTTGCGCTTGTGGCCGTAGCGCCCGCTGGCGGCAGTGGCTGCTTCCCATCTGTAGATTTGTCGAGGATGTACTGGTAGTCTTGGTGTTCCAGCAGGCGCTCGATGATCTTGTTAATGTACAGCGTCAACGCCTTGTTCTGGTCCTGGAGCGACTTGAGCTCGGCCTCCAACCGGCGCTGGCCTTCGACAGGAACGCCGTCTGTGCCGTTGGCCACGGCGCCACTTGCAGCCCCGGCCTCATCGCTGTCGCTGCCGGCCGCGTCGTTCAGCTCGTCTGCCAAGCTGGATCCGCCAACCCCGCGTCCTTCAAGTGCATTCAGGGCATCCTCGTTTGAGGAGCGTGGCCGGCTGTGCGTGCCGCCTGTGTTGCTGATGAGACCAAGGCCGCCGCCGAACCCAAAGTCAGCCATGCCAAAGTCGCCCTTGAGCGTCTTTTCCTGCAAAAGCAGCTGGTAGCTCTCATTGTCCTCCATGAGGCGGGCGTTGGCCATGCGGGCTTCCATCAGCTGCCGCTCGACCTCATGCAGGCGGCCGCCGCCTTGGTTCTCGGATTCAACGAGTTTGATTTGGGCCTCGGCCAGTTCGAGGCGCAATGACTCGATCAGCTTGTCTTTCTGGAGCAGGAGCTTTGAGTTGTTGCGCGAGTCGCTGCGGTGGAGGGACGACGGCGGGGCGAAGCTGCCACTGTCTACGCCGGGCGAGCTGTTGCTTGCTGGAGAGTGTTAGAATGGGGGAGAGAGAGACGACTGTGAGAGGCACTCTTTGAACAATCACTCACTTATTCTCGAGGGTCGGCCCTCGTCGTCGGCGTTGCGCTGCGCCAAGCTGTCCTTGAGGCGCTGGATAATGCGCTCCTTTTCTTCCTCGCGATTGCTCATATCCTCCTTTTCGCGGGTCATGGCGCTGCGCTCAGCCTCATAAATCGTCTCCATCTGCTGGATCTGGCGTGCCATCTCGCGTTTCTCGTTCTTGAGCGTCTCTGCCTGCTCGTCGTACTCGTGCACGCGCTCCTCCAGCTTCGAGTGCTCCTTGACCACCTCGTCTAGCCGTGCCTGCAGCACGTCGTTCTGTCTCTGGTACTGCTCGCTCGCGCCCTCTGCCTTGCTCAGCCGCTCCTTAAGATCATCAAGAAGGGCCAGGGTCTCCGCCCGCGCGGCCTCTTCAGCCTCTGTATTGGATGCAGTGTCGGCACCAGGCGACGGCGCATTTTTCGAGTTGCTCAGCAGCGACTCACGCCGCTGGGCCGCCGCCGCCCGAGCCGACACGAGGGTGCTGGACCGCACTGAGCGTGTGCGTCCGACACTGCTCGTTGGCGTGGCCGTGCCGGTGCCGGTTCGGTCGCCGCTGCTGGGCGTCGAAGCGCGCGGCTGTCTGGAGGGCGACGCAGTTGGCGAGTCGCGGCTCCCAGCCGGTGGCCGTTTTGCTGTCGGCGTTGACATGGTGTTTCCGTGTGGTTTTGTCGTGTGTTTTTTTGGTTTCCGCCGTTGTCCTGTCCATTCGTTGTGTCCTCTTCGTGTTGACCGCTCTTTATTGATTTGTCGTTTCTTCAGCGGCGTCGAGCTGCAGAGGCGCCAAGTTGAAGACGAATGTGGAGTAAACAAGAGGGAAATGCGGGCGTTCGTCGAATAGGGGAGCGCTACGCTTCAAGGTGCGAGGAAGGGGTTGACTCTTGAAAAAGGCAGAACAGTTCGGAAAGTCAACGGAGTAACGAGTCACAGCCACTTCTGAAGTAGAAGAGGAGAAATCGACAATATTGGAAAACAAGAAGCTGTGCGTGTCGTGGCTCGTGAGAAAAGGAGCAGTAAGGAGCGAATGTTGAAGCACAGGGGAAATGGGAAGGTGATCGTTTGCAGGGGCCTGGCATTCGCGGTATTGCTGGTAGTCTAGCCGTTTAGCATGGCAAGGAAGGACCAACAACCCCTGGCGTCGCGTTTCGGAGGCCAAGTGCTTATTACGGCCCTGGCAGAAAGGAGGTACGGGACAGCCCAACGGCACAGGGAAGGTGCAGTCAAGAACACAATACAATAGCTAGGCGGAGCAGCCCTGACAGACTTTGCGTAATCCCAACGCTAATTCTGGAAGGAAAATGAAGAGAATGGGTGAAAGAGCAAATGGTTGCACGGCGGAGAAGTTCCAGTGGGGAAGTCGCTCTGGAAACCCACATTGTTATTTGGGAGATGTATCTTACTTCACAGCGTGTGGTATGTTGTCCTTTCCAGTGTTGGCGCACGACGAGACAGGACGCCCAGTGGTTTCTGTCTGGTAAGAAATTACGACATAGACGACCACCATAGGAGCTACTATAGACGACAGCGACGAACAACAGACAGCGGCGTGATTCGACAACGGTGCTTTGTCACGACGAAGACCCGTGGGAGGCTGATGAGGCAGGCGTTGAGGAATGTGCTGGTTGCTACGCGTCTGACACTACCAGTGAACTCATTTACTGATCCTGGAGCCGGTTGCGTCGATAGTGTTGCCTTTGTGCAAGTGCGACATAAGTCGATTCGCATGGAGTTGGTTCCCAGTGGCGGGATCGATATTGATGACTGCGCTCCATCGGACGGCGTACGGAGTAAATACTTTTTGCCCTTGCAAATTTCTTGCCAATCAGTTGCGGACGAGCGTTTTTGTTTTGTCGACGACTGTACATGCTATCAAATAGGCGACAGAGCAGCCGTTTTCTGCACCGGTTCAGGTTCTGTTTTGATCATCTCGCTGGGCCTGCGCCCGGCTTCCTAAAACGGAACGCGCCTTCACCATGTTGCGATGCTCGCGCGTCGCTGAAAGGAAGCACGACTGCAATCTTCCGTGCCCGATGAGGGAATCGGGACACGCATCTGCGACTGGGTCCAGCCCAGAAACCCTACCCCTGTGCCAATGAAACGTCTAGAAACACAAAAGAACATGAGGCGGCGGCCATCCCAAAATGGAGCAATGAGCGGGAGATTGCGACGACAATTAGGACATTCATGCGGAAAAGCGCTGATCGCTGGCGCATCCTAGTAGTCTTTTTGAAGCTCTTGATAATTCGTAGAGGCTAGGCAGTCGCCAATTCCCGTTCGGCACATTTCAGGAGCATTGTACTTCGTATGTCGAACAGTCGTATATCGTTCACAGGTACAGAAGTACAGAGTATGTTCATAACCGTGGATGAATTGCTCACGTGATGTCGTCCGTAGCACATCTCGCACGTGTATATTGGGCACAGCGGACACCTATCGCATATAAGCATATGCGATATATGCATTTACACGGCGTTAAATTGATGCTTCATTTGGCATCACACAGAACACACGATTTGTTGGGGACAGTGGCTTGTTCTGAAGACTATTTTGTTTCTTTGGTATAATAGATCACAGTCCTTGATACATAATAGTCGTGGACTTTCTTTTCCTGAACGCCGTTTGATGTCTCCCAAAAAGCAACCATTCCATCAAGGAACATGGCAAATTTTGTATTTTGGAATTTTTATAATATTCATTCATAAAACCATCCTCATCGCGTTTGCCGCAAGTCCCATGGAGTTGTTTCGATTGGCTTTTTGTGTATGATTGTCTGCTTAAGCCTGCTGGTCGGCCAGGATGTCCGAGTCACCGGGGTCCAGGACGGCCATGGTGGAGCAGCGGAAGAGCTTACCGCAAGCAGTGCCGAGCTCGATCTATACGAAGGGGAAAACATACGGGTTAGTTATACAAAAAATACCCTCCAAAGTCACAGTAGAGTGCAACTTCTTCGCAGGGCAGGCCCAGACCACCGGTCACGCACAGGCGAGACGGGGGCACCGCAATTCAGCTTTGTAAAACGCAGAACCGTGACCGGCTTCTGTCTGGGCCGTCTACTGGAGAGAAGGGGCGACACCAGAGCTGGCAATCTCAGAAAAACGGAATCGGGGAAGAGGATAAACGCACGTTGTTGCCCGAGAAGTGGTGGACGTTGGTCTTGCTCAGCATGCTGTAGTACTCGAGCTCAGACTTGCGGAGGGGGCTGGTGTTGGAGGAGATTAGGACCAGCTTGGCCTTGCCCTGTAGTAGAGAGTCGTGTTAGCAATCTGCTCGACTCTTTGACGGTCGAAGATGCGCACCGTGGCAAGCATCGCGGGATCAGAAACGTACGCTGCGGAGCGACTTGAGGGTGCTCTTGTAGCCCATGGTGACCTTGCCGGACTTCATTACAAGCGCCAGGCGCGAGTTGATGGAGTTGGCGTCCTTCTTGTTCTTCTTGGGGGCCATTGCAACGGTTGTCGTCGAAATGTATGGGTTGTTGTCGGTAAGTGTCGTGGGTGTCGAGAGGAAAGAAGAACGAGAAGACAGAACTTTTGGTCGAGACAAACTACGAAATTTCTCTCCCCATCGCTAGCGCCAGCGTAAGAGTGGCATGCACGGAAAAAAATACGAGTAAAAATGAGTAAAATCGTTAGGTTGGAAAAAGAGTGGGACACCTATTTTTCCGGCTTTCGTGGAGGAGTCACCCAAGGGCAAGAAAGACCTAAAGGACCCACTTTAATTTGGCCCCTGCCACAAAGGAAGGAGTCACTCGCCAGCCGACCCTGACAAAAGTCGGGAAAATGGGCGAACCTTCCTCTAGTAAGCCGATTTTGCTTTGAAATCAGCTAGTGAGGCGAACTGAAGCCACCCAAAGGGAAATTTCGTCGCCCGCCGCTTATTTTCTTGTTCTCTTAAAAACACCTCTCGATCAGCCTTTGGATCGCCAACCCTCAACGACAACCCCAATCACAACAACACTTAACGACAAATAGACAAACATCCGACACAATGGCTCGCCGTCCCGCCCGTTGCTACCGGTACTGCAAGAACAAGGTGCGTTCGTGAAGGGAGGAACAAGCGACGGAAAGGAAGCCAAGGGGAGGAGGAGGAAGTCATCGACCCACGATCCTAGGACGAAGACGACGACGAGAACGAGCGACGGCTAGGCGACTTCGCATCCTGCATTACTGCTTTCATTATCGTTTTGCGTGAAAGTATCATTTCGGCTGCCTAGGCTCGTTCGCGTTCGGTCCGGGGTCGGTGGTAGTCCTGAGATATGGGAAGAAGCATTCGGAGAGCGGAGGAATATAAAAGTTTTTGTCGTTTTTCATCGCAAGCAAACAAGGTACTAACGGCGTGCTTCATCTAGCCGTACCCCAAGTCCCGCTTCAACCGTGGTGTCCCCGACCCGAAAATTCGCATCTTCGACCTGGGCCGCAAGCGCGCCACCGTCGACGACTTCCCCCTCTGCATCCACCTCGTGTCCAACGAGTATGAGCAGCTGAGCTCCGAGGCCCTCGAGGCCGCCCGTATTTGCGCCAACAAGTACCTCGTCAAGACTGCCGGCAAGGAGGGTTTCCACCTGCGCGTCCGCGCTCATCCGTACCACGTCGTCCGTATCAACAAGATGCTGTCGTGCGCTGGTGCCGATCGTCTGCAGACCGGTATGCGTGGTGCCTGGGGCAAGCCCAACGGCACTGTCGCCCGTGTCAACATTGGCCAGATCATCCTGAGTGTCCGCACTCGTGACTCTAGTATGTCTTCGTGTCCAGGAACACTCCAGCATCCTTGATTTGACCTGTTACTAACCCGCTTCGCAGACCGCGCTTTCGCTCTCGAGGCTCTCCGCCGCTCCCAGTACAAGTTCCCCGGCCGCCAGAAGATTATCATCTCCAAGAACTGGGGCTTCACGCCCCTCCGCCGCGAGGAGTACCAGGAGAAGAAGGCTGCTGGCCGCGTCCGGGTGGACGGTGCCTACGTCCAGTTCCTGAGCAACAAGGGCAACCTGGCTGCGAACATCAAGCAGTTCCCCGACGCCTTCTCCGCATAAAGTGGTAGGAGGAGTTGAGAGACTGAATTGTTTGCATTTTTCGTTGTATTTCCCTGTTGATCGATAAAATGCCAGGGTGGTACAATCACACCCTCGCGCGGGCACAGAGCGGCGCTTGGTGGTCTTCTTTTTTGGTTCATCTATTCTATTTTAGCACACGTGGCTGTGGGTTTCTTTTCTTGTCAAGAGAGGAGAACATGCTCAGCCGGAGCGCTGTTACAAGTGCAATGTGTGGCACACTGCCCGAATTTGCCTGGGCACGCTTGCGATGCTCACCGGCGGCACGAATGCTGTACGAGCACGGCTCCAACGTCACGAACCCGAGAGACAGAATTAGGAAGAGACGAATAAGAAATTAACCCACGATTCAACCAATATATGCAATGTGCCGTGGTAAAAAATCATATCATGAGCCTAAAACAGCGTTTTGTAGCTGTAGAACACCAACCCACATGACTAACCATCGTAGACAAGTTGTTGGCCAGCTTTGGAAGGTAGGCGTCATAAATCAATTGCCATTGTTTTTAAACGTTTCGTTTCGCTTTCAGTGCCTGTGGCTCACCCTCCTTACTGTCCATGCCGATCGCTTTCTTCTCCCTGCTCTTCTCCTCTCTTGTGGGCTTGCGCACTTGGTCGCCTGTCCACGTACGTCGTAGGCTACTTTGTTTTAGATTCCCCAACGAAAGCGAACGTGACCAGGTGATCTTTATGTGGCGTCTTTTGGCGTCATTGGAGTCCTGTGAGGGGCATATGGCGGGCACTTCCTCCCCATATGTTTGGTCGTCACATTGACCTTTATCCCACAGGTTAACAGACGGTGTCTCAATTCAATCGTGCACTCGTTAATATTCCGCTGGACGATAGCTTGCAACATTGTCGATCACCGACGTGAGTGACGCCGTAGAAAACGACGGCACATACGGGAAGGTGTCAGGCGTTGAATGCGGGAAGACGGAGCGAACAAGAGAACAAGAGGCGCACAGGAAGTGGCTCACAGCGTGTCCAACTGGCAACTAAACTGGAGAAATGGATTGGCGCTTTGTTCACTTATTGGCTGGCATTCGGCCTGGTAGCGACAGGACCAGAGGACGTTGTGGCGCGTGTTACTGGCAAGCTATGGCGGGTTTGGCCCCCTAAATTTGCGATCTATGGCGCCATTTTAGAGACCTGCTGAATGCTGGCGACGGCTATCGGTCCTTTGGCTCCCAGCCAGACGACTTCGAGGAAGTCTGCCACCGTTGGCCAAGAAGAGAAACGCACGCCTGGGATGGACCGTTCTTTCAGTCTGGTGTCGCAATAATAGGCCCTGAGAACAAGTTTCAGGGTTTTCTACGAGTGTCCGAGCGAACGCAAAACCAGTCGGGGTTTGCTTCGTTGTTACGAAGCTGCCAGTGGTCTACCATAAGCTGAGGGGAATTATGTGAGATTTAAATGTAAATCGAAACGGCGATATACGAAGGACCGATGATGGAGCGACGCGAGGTGAGAGCACCCAAAGGTACAGCGGCTTCTGGATGTAAATACGTAAGGTGCCTCGCTGAATGCCCACCACTTCTTGTGTCTGCGCCTGCCAAGTCGGTTGAACTCTCGGAACTGCAGGAGAGTAATCGAAAAAGGACGCACGTCGTAGACGAGAAAGGAGGGTGGGAATCAGTCAGACACAAGCTCTTTTCTTCCGTTTTCCTTTTGGCCCGGTCTTTCCCTCAATGGCTGCTTTCAGCCCAGTTCAGTCAGAGCATAAGATGCACTACTGCTGTAGCGTGAATCTTAGGTTAATTACTCGACAACCGTCGACAATAAGCAAAATACGAATCTCTGTCGTCAGAGCACGAAGCCACCGCTGCAGGTCAGCCCAGGGGTCACGCACTGCCAATACTGCCAATACTAACTGCCCTGGTTCGCGGTCACTTCGGACCAACAGAGGACCCAGCAAACCAGCCAGCCTCACTCCTTCCGGCTCCTGCAGGCCCCCCCTTTTCTAGCTCGCCCAATTGTCGCAAGACGTTCCAAGTGATAGACTTGGAAGAAACAGTGAACGGCGTGAGACGTCGCCGTCGCTCCTGCCCGCCTGCGTGGTGTTCTGACATTGGTTGTCACCCACTGCTGATCTGCTGTCATCGCGGGACTTGGCCTCCTTCCCCCAACAGATCTAACGGTCATTTCCTTTCCTTCGTCCTTGCCCTTTTAAATGCCCTTCGTGCCTTCCTGGTATTTTGCTCTTTCTCGTCCTTTTGTGTCCTTTTGTTAGTATCGCCCCTTTTTTGACAACATCTCTTCTCTTCGGCAGCGGCAAGTACTCGCTCTTTTCAACCAGCCTCTGACGTTGCTTAGCTGGACTGTCTTATCGCGCGCCCCCTCTTTTGTTGACAGCGGTCAACCTCCCTTCCGACTCCTCGTCACACGAGCCCGATCAACTCCTTTTCTGCTGCATTGTCCCACCACCCTCGTCTGGCACGCTCTCCGCGGCTCTCGTGAGGGATTCTTACGTCGTAATTAACCAGCCGACGGTTATTCGATTGACTTGAAAGCGTGCGGCCCGCCTTTCTTATTATCAGTCTGTTATCGCTTCTGTCGCTTACACCCGGAATCCTTTGCGCAACGTGTTACACGCCCACGAGACCCAGCCGCTGGTCATCAACATTGACAAATATACGCTCGAACGCTCAAGATTCGCATCGCCCACATCGATCACGTCAATCCGCTTCTCGGTCTTGTCCTCGAAATTACGCTGACAACCCGTCCTATCGCGGCTTCTGGTCTACTATTGCCCACGTCGTTCCTCTAGTCCCCCGCTAGCACGCCCGCTTTCGGGATCTTCGTTACGATAACACCCATCTCCTATCGCTGATTGCTGGCACGAGACCTGGGACCATCTTCCCATTTTGCTTTGATATTGGGGCATGGGCGACGACGGCACTCTTGCCTTGCCGTCGTTTTCTTGTCACTCTTCCTTACACTCTAATCTCTGTCGTCATTTTTGTCTTTGAACTGCATCCCACATGGCTTTCCATCAGCCCACGCGGCAGGCCCTTCAACGGCCGCCACGCCAGGAGTCGCAAGAACGAGACGACAACCGCGTCTCTACTGTACTTCCCGCCGCCCTCGAGGGTTCGCAAACATGGGTGCTCTTCTCGCCGAACGCGGACACGGAGACGGCATCGTCCGTTCTGGACTCGCTCCAGGAATCCTCACAGCAAACAGCCGGCCGTTCACGGCTGAGTGACCTGGGCAGTTTACGTAGCCTCGAACACTCCGATTATGCATCCTCGCGCGCGCAATCAGCCGTTGCGAGGCCAGCGAATCTCCGCCTCTCCCTCCTCACATCAGCACGCGCCCAGTCCAACTTCGATGAGGCTGTCATGAGCGACGATGCCCGGCCCGACGCCGAAGACGACGCCGAGCTCGACAGCCTCGACAGCCACCTCCCCGATTTCCGCCCTACTACACAACAAAACCTGGCACAGCAAGCTATGGCAGCCACTGCCACCACGACTGTCAACCTTCCGACGCATGATGGTCTCGGCACTTTCCGGTTAGGCAACACCACTGGCTTGAGTGCTGCTGTCCAAGAACACCTCTACTCATTCGAGCAGTTCAACCCACGGCGGGTCCCAAAGCGGCACCGTGCGTCTTTGGACCTGGCGCAGCTGCAGGCCGACGATGAATTTGCAGAGGATATTGAGCGGACACGGCGTATTGAGGCCTGGCGGCTGGAACACAGCCGCGTACTTCTCGAAGAGATTCAGAAAGAGACTCGCCGGCGGCGCGGGTCCGAGCTCTCTGCACGACGAAGTCGGGTGAGTGGTGCAGCAGGCAACGCGACCCTCGCGCCCGGTGCTGTTGCTGCAGACAGGACCGCGCAGGTGGAGACGAGTACCGACTGGCACGACCAGGAGGAGGATGACCGTCTCACGAAGCTTCGCAAGGCAGCAGGTGAAGATGGCGATGGCCCAAGCGAAGGTCTGTGGACTCGCATTACACGCAGGTTTATGGTTGAAGTCATGGGTATCGATGACCGCATCCTATCTGTCCTCTTCGGCGAAGATATCGCGGCCAACGAGGAACAAACCGATGAGATGGACCTGTCCTCAACGCCCCGTGCATCCAACCCTCTGTTGGAAGCAGGTGCTATCGGCGTAGACTCGGCGGATGTTGGCCCCTATGGGGACGACTCCTCATCTTGGCAGCTGCGCATGCTCGAGCGCATTGCCAAGGAGCTGGGCTTGTTTGTGCATTCGCACATCAGCTCGCATCCGGGCGCGTTTTCGACCTTCACCCGCATGCAGCAGATGCCCCTGCCATACGCTGGCCTGCCGGTGATCCCCGAGACAACCACACCTGCGAATCGCGTCCTCGGGAGCGAACAGGGGCCGACCGAGGTCTCTGGTGAGAAGAGAACCAGCGATATCACTCCGACCGGGACTACGGCTTCGCTTCCCCACTTCAAGCCCACCATCTACCAAGCACAACCGATGGACATCCCTGGTCAGACGACAGAAAACAACACTACGCCACCTACCGCTGGCAGTGCTACAGCGAACTCTACGTCGACCACGCCAACGGCCGCACAGGCTTTCACTCAGGAGGAGTGGGAGCAGGACCTCGACATCAAGCTCGTGTTCCGCTACCTGCGTTCGCGCTTCTTTTCGGGATCAGCGTCGGGAAACAACCATGCACACCGCCACCACCTCCACCACCTCGCACACCACGGCCACAGTGCCGGGGTTAGTGGCTCGATCACCATGAGCTCGCAGGAGGCCGCGGCCAAGGTGGCTCGCGTGCGTCAGCACCACCCGCTGGTCGGTCGGGGTGCGTCGGGTGCGCGCCAGACTGGTGAGCGGCGGCCGCCCATGCCTGCGTTCCGCAACATGAACACACCGGGCGGTTTAGCGGCGCCATCGAGCCCTATCCTGCGCCACGGTCACGGCCACGGGACGGCGACCTCGTGTGCCAGTCAGAGCACGCGGCGGTCGGCGCGGCGTAGTAGCATGTCGTCGCGGCACTCGTCGCGGCACTACTGGGATATTGGAGGATCGATTGGGACTGGGTCGATGATTGCGTCTGCAGGCCCCATGGGCAGCTGGGGCGAGGTGTAAGGCAGCAGAGCATAGGATCGTTTCTAGCGCTGTCAGGCGGCTCTGCCCTGTGACGTTTCGTTTTCGCGCCGTCTCGTCTTTCTCCCCGATCTCCGTTTTTCTTTCAGTTTTCTTCCAGTTTCTTTCATTTTGATTCATGATTGCTGGGATTGCATGTCGTGGGCGTTCTTGTCATGTAGTATTTTGGTTTCTTGTCTATTTCATCTTTTTCTCACATTTTCATTATCCAGCACTCTTTCATCAGATTGTGTTTATCTTATTTGATTTCTTTCGTCATTTAACGGGCACATCTCCTCACGTTATATACTCGGCCAATCTGAATACAATGCATACAAACTTAGGCAAGGCGTGCAGAATTGTGCATCGTAATCCATCATGCTGTGAGGCGGCCGATGCCGTCGGAAATTTAAAACCGATTGGGCGTAAATGCCCCAATACGTGGCCTTTTGGCAGCCTCGTCTGCGATAATCGGGAGCTCTGGAGTGAGCATCGAGAGCTCGTGGGGTATCTGAACTATGTAGGTGTGCACAAGTCTCGGACAGTAGTGTACGGGCAAATGCATAAGCCGCTTCAAGCTGGTCTTGATATCATGCACCGCACTGCGTACGCCGTGCTCCTCCTCTGCACACGTTTTGACGTTTTGACGACGGTCATGACGCAACGCACGACGCAGGTCGGACAATCAGGCGGTTCGTTGGCCACAAGCTGCAAGTATTACTTTGTAAACTCGGGCATTGGGCATGGGGCGTGGCAAGGAGGGTACGGCGTGCCTGGGGGATGCCAAGTAAGACGGCCATTTGTGAGCAGAATGTTTGGCCAGGAATATATGGCCACGGCAGAACGGCAGCGGGAAAGATGGGATGGCGTGGACAGCAGCGCACTTGCACAGTGCACAGCACGAGGAAGGAGCGTTCTTGTTGCTCGGCGGGACGGCAGGAAGGATCGTCCCAGAGACGCTAGCTCGTTGGGCAATTGACGGACACCTTTTCAACTTCATTTGTGAGACAGTCCAGCTCCGGGTGTGAACGGCGACACGTACTCGTATCGATCTGAATGAGGGGACCGGGCATTTCAAGCCAAGGGATGTCCTTTGTTCTGTGTCTTGACTGCCGTGTTCTCCTGTCTTTTTTCCCCCCTCATCTCAGCCTAGTCGTGGTCTTTCACGGAGTACGACAACCACTTTATCCCTTGATGTCGCGCTTTTGTAAATGCAAAGAGAAAAGGCCTCACAACAAACACGTAGAGAACAAAGAAGAAAACAGGGGCTGGCGCTTCCAAGACAATAACATTGACAAGAAAAGACGAGACGATGCGTCGTCTTATTCGCCGAGATGGTGCGCAAAAAGGGAGTCGTGTAAGCCATCTGGGAAACCGACGAATAACAGCTGCACAGCGCTCCCGTTTGTTTGTTTACGGAGCCTAACAAAGATCTGCTTCAGACGTGTTCGAAGCCAAAGAACAAAGAAAAAGAGAGAGAACAGAGCAGCCCAGAGCCCACGCGGGCATGCGTGCCGACCGCTCATTGGCTGCCGCTTGCGCCAAAACGCGTGGAGAGCGCGCTGGGCCGCGAGGCTAATTCGGTGCTAAAGTGGTTTTGACCAGGGGTGTTTAATGGAAAATACCACACTGGCGACCAAGTGAGAATGGCAGGGGTTGGGAGTGGTCATGCGAACAAATGGCGAGGGAAAATGGTCGAGAAACGACGAGAAAGAAGAGAACTGAAGTCAATGGAAAGAGTGGCAGCCGGGGAAAGAATCGGTGTCGGGGGGCATGCCTCGTTCTTTCCCTTGCTGTTGGTTCTCTACGATTCGCCCAAAAGGGCCGTCTACGGTGTGTCAAGCTGCGACATGGAAGGAGCGATGGAGGGGAGTGCCCTCAGCCTTTTCCTGCCATGGCACCCCACAACACAGAGACATAGGGTCGTATACGTCCGCCCTTCTTGTCAGACTACTTGCTGCCTAGCACGTCGCCCGCATCGCGGGCGACGTCCCATAATCGTACAACAAAAAACTCGGATTATGTGACAAAAGTGACTAAAATAGGTCATGTGATCAATCCGCCAGGAACGCGAGCGATTGCCCGCGCGTCAAAAAAGTGAGGCTGTAAAAATACATCACGAAGAATATCGTTAAAATGACTACGTTTTGTATTAAGTAAAAGAAAATTATTTTTGTATTATAAATATATTAATTACGTGTTACTTTTTAATACCCTTTTTTATTTTTTCCGATTTTTTTTTATAAAAGTAGTATAGTAACCGAAGTATAATAATTTTAAATTAAAATTATACTTTTTCGATATTATAATATTACTTTTTATTATTTTAACCGTACTTAATACTTTTTTTATATATTTTAAGGTTAAAAAAACATTTTTATTATAATATTTATTATTATATTTTTACGAGGTTATAAGTATTTAAAGTAAAAGAATTATTATTATATTATTAATTACTTATTATTTATATTATTAAAACTTTTATTTATAAATAAACGGTAAAATATCGTTAAAGGATATTTACGTATATTTTAAGTACAAGGTATCGTATACCGTCTTTATAAACTATCGATATCGTCGATTAACTATATAAAAGAACGTAAAAGTATATTTAAACCGTTAATAAACCTTATATTTTATTATATCTTTTATTTTTAAATTAAAAAAAAAACGTTTAATATAATCTTTAATATTACGGCCTTACTTATTAATAACCTCGTCTTTTAAATCGTTTAAGTTAATATTAATAATAAAAATACTCGACGTATTATTAAAAGTCTTTTTACCCACCCCTCGTATATTTATAACGTTAATTTACTTTATTATTTACGGGAGTTTATATTTTAACTTTAAAAAAAGTTACTCGTAACTTTAGAAAGGACACGTTTTATACCTTTATATATTATTAAAAAAGTGTATATTATTAATTAAAGGTTCGAAGTAATAAAGAATATACTTATAAAAAAGGAAGTAGTTTATCGAAAAGGTAAAGTAACCGTATACTTAACGTCGTAGGTTTATATAATATTGTTAAATAATTATAAAATTTATAAACCGTTAAATTACCGTTTTTTATTACTTTTTAAAGGTTTTACGTTAACTTATACGGATAATATAATAGTTTTTTTTAAGTATTATATATATTTATTTAACTACGTTAAAAAGTATACGTATAATTAAAACTTATATTATTAAATCGATACGTAGTCGATTAAAACGATATAAAAAGTCGTGTTTAATTTAACGTTAATAAGACTCGATAATTATAATCGTTTTTAAAATAAAGATTTTTACGGTGTTTATAAAACGAGTCTATAAAGACTAATAATCCTACTTATATTAGTTAAGATATATATAAACTTAAAGTTTAAAGTAGTTACGAGTTTAACACCACTCGTATATCTCGTTTATATATACCTTATAAATAGACTTTATATTATAATAAGTCCCGTTACCGTTTAATATTAACGGGTATACGTTTATTATAAGTGATTGTAGGATAGGTCTTTATAATAGATTAGTTAATGAAAAGTATTAGTTTCGAGGACGAAGGTAGGTGTGTATTATAATAAAGACTAATTCTTACCCCTTCTTCCTTTTAGGAAGAAGGGAGTCCTTTTATTTAAAGAGAGAGGTTTTTTACTAACGTGGTGTTAACGTGTAGTTAAAGACTAGTTATATTACACCTTATTATATAAGCCTAGTCACCTAATTCGTAACCGAAGGCTACGAATCGATTATAATAACGTTAAAGTAACGTATAAATATTTTAAATATAATCTTCTTTTCGTTTAAAAATAAAGACTTTAACGAGACGCTTTTTAATATATTAATAATACGTTACGTATAACTATATATCCCTTTATAATATAGTCTTTTAAACCGTCGTATTAATAAAGATTCTTAATAAAGTTTTAAATTAAGGACGAGTTATAAAGCCTTAAAAGGGTGGTATTATAATAAACTCGTTATTTTAATACTTATTAACCTCGTCTTTATTATACGTTTTATATACTAAGTATATAACTATACTTTAATAACCGGGAAAACGTAACGAATAACCGTAATTTTAAACTAATCTTTATTATAATTAAAAAACGAAGGTATAAAACTATTATCTCGTATAAAAGTTAAAAAAAAGATTATCGTAACCCTCGTAACGTTAACGTCGGTCTTTTTAATATTAAACGTTATCTTTATTATCTTAAAAAAAAAGGTATACGAAAAGGACGTTAGTCCCGTTAACCTCCGTAAAAATAATAAATAAATTTATACTAGTATTATTTATACCGAAAGTAACGTTAATAAAAAACTCCTTTACGATAAAAGTAAACGGTTATATTATTTCTTTATAAAAAAAAACAAACCCTTTTATATTATTATAAACGTACTTTTTAAAAGTAAATTTATCGACTTTTTTTAATAAAAGTAATAGTGTAAAAACGTATTAATTTTAATTTCGTACTTAAAGATTTTTATTAACCTTCCTTTATTAATAATAAACTTAAAAAAGGGTTATACGGCTTATATTAAATACTTTATTAATAATAAGGTTACGGTAAATCTTTACGGGAGTGTAAAAACCAAACCGTACATCGATATACTTTAAAACTTTTAACTTAAAATTAATATTTATATATATTTTATAGTAACGGTAACGGAGAGAGAGTGTAAACGTATACTTAATATAATATACTTTAATCGTTAAACGGTTATTATAATCGTAACGTTTAAAGTTTTTTTTATTTCGTTAACTTTCGTTTTTATTTTTTTATTTTATATTTACGTTTTAATAATAATAAAAATAAAACGTAAACGAGATATAAACTTTATAAGTTATTTTTAAGAAAAAACGATAACTATTAATTTATTAAATAGTATCGATTAAAGTTAAAATAACTTACGAGACGTCGTTTTTAAGTACCTTTTTTTTTCTTTTAAATTTTATTAATTTAACGAAAAAAGGGGGAAAAAGATAAATAAACGGTTAATAATAAATAATATATTAATAAACGTAGGTTTATTATCCTTTTAATTATATTAATTATAAAGAAAATAAAAAAAATAAATAATTAAATAAAAAAAGTATATTAATAACTTTTACGTTTATAACTTTTAATAAAAACCTTTTAAACGTTTAATTTAAAAGTAAAACGTTTTTTTTATACTTTATATAAGTCCTTTTTTACTTACTATTTTATAAAAGCCCGAATTCGGTAATATCTCGTATTATTTAATATTTTAAATAATACCTTTTAATAAGGTTACCGGAAGAAAGGTCGAGAGGTAAGAAGGGAGGGTCGAGAGATAAAAGAGAAGGGTTTAAAGGTAAAAGGAGAGGGTCGAGAGGTAAAAAAGGGTCGAGAGACGGTTAAAGTTTTAAAAAGGTATCGATTTTTAACGACGGTAAAACGTTATAATGTCTTAAAAAAGAAAAGAAAAGTTAACCATATATATAAAAAGACGGTCGAAAAGATAATATAAAAATAATCTACATACCGTCTTCTATAATGGTTTAATTACCGAAAAACGATAGGGGTAAAAGAACGTACAGATTATACAAACGGAGGATTATGGTGATGGATACGGGTAAAAGTAAACAAAAAAGAGGGCGCGGCGCGTTTTCGACGTGGTCACGAGAAAAGCGGACCCGCTAGTCCCTAAAAGGATGGCGTTTTAGTCACATGATCCGAGTTTTTTGTTGTACGATTATGGTTCATGTCGCGGGCACGACACTCACAAACTTGTGGTAGGCGTGTAGGTGTGTAGGCGCCCAAGTTGCGGTATGGCGGTATTGCGGGTAAAAAAGACGTAGTGTCGTTTCGTTCTCGCTCTTTCCTTTTATTTCTGGTGTTCCGTCAGATCTGTAGGCTCCGTGCTGCTGTGCTCTTTCCCGTTCTGGTGTGCTCGGGACCTCTGTAACATCCACGACCTCAGCTCCACGACTCCACACCACCTCTGCCTGCTGTTCTGCGCACGCGGCGGTCTTGTCTCTGCCTCTCCGGCTCTTTTCTGGAGTCTTCTTCCTCTCCGCAGGCTCGCCAGCGAACTACTGCCCGAGCCTTTTTACCTAGCGGGCGGCTTGGTCCTAGAACCTCCTCTGCTCTCCACTGCCCTCACCGCGCTTGTCTCGAGCGCGCCTTCCTCGTCGTGCTCGTAGCTCCTTCCCTCTCTATCGCCCGCCCAGTACCTCTTTTCCGGGTTTTGCAGCAGCTGCTCGTCAACACCACCTGCGCCCTTGCCGTGTACCCACAACACGCCCCCTGTCCGAGTACCTGCTTCCTCCCATCCCCTCCTGCCCACCCTCCACCCATTCCTTCCCCAAAGACTTGCCTGCCCGTGTCTTGTCCGACGTCTTGCAGTGTGCAATCGTTAATGTGCTTTTACGCTTTTGGGCGTACCTGCCTTTCTCCCACTTTCATCCCGCATCTTCTCCTGACCTCGTCAATCCTCGTCTTCAACCTTCTAGAAACCAGGCTGACATCCCAGCCATTTCGCCATTCCTCATTGCCCCCTGAACCCTAACATTCCTATTCTTGTCTTGTTCACGCACCAATTTTGCCAACGCGCCTTGTCCTTGTGACCAGCTTCCAGAAACGCTGCCTCGTGCCTCTCGCATCTCGACATCATTACGAATATATATATTTACATATTTATCGCCCATCGTCCGCCGCCTGCCCTCCCCCTCAAGGTCCTTTTCGACCTTTCCCGCGCTCTGGCCTGCGCTTGCTTTCTTCCTCTGTGACCGGATTAGACTGGCCAGTGTCCGTCCGGCTTCTCGTATGTTGTTGGCCCGTTCGGCGGCCGACTCGATGATACGATCCCTCATCTCCCGTCCTCGAGATTTGACACCTGAGGCTGCCATCACGGCCGCCGTTTCGGCCGCAGCTGGCCTTCCTCACCTCGGACGGCCCCTTGGATTGACCGCTTTGTCGTATCACAGTGCCATGCCCTGCGCCAGATCCTGCTTGTGAGCTCTCCACGAGCTCTTCGTCCTACCACAACACCGACGCAAACGGCACCTTGTCTCGCCCCAACCCCCTCCAATATATGCTCTACATTGAGAAGTTCCCACGACTATCCTTCTGCGCGACCGACATCTGTCTTGCTCTGCCGTTCCTGGATTTCGGACGCGCCAGAGCCCGTGCCGGTTGGTGGTAGACCGCTGTCCGTTGGACTGCGTTTCTTTGTTGTTAGCGGCTGTTACCCGGCCACTAACCTAGGCAACACCGCCGGCCCCGCAGTTGCTCTGATAGTACGGCTGTCTCCCGGAGATGATCTCCGCCGGAGCTGCCAATGGCCGCGACTTCCTTCGACGCCACTGCTGCCGTTGCCGCCTTGTCGTCCAATAACAATGCCCAGGATCCCGCTGTGCCCTCGTCCTTTGTTTTTGACATATACGACGACAGTGCAGCACGGTTGCCGCCTGCAAACGACGGCCAGCTTGTGCCACTACAGCAGCAGCAGCAGCAGCAGGGGCCACCGCAACTACTAGACCCTCAACCTCAATCTTCGCCACGCCTCCCTGATGGACCTTGCAACTATGTCGACTTGAGCCATGGATCCAGTGGTGCTCACTGCGGCTGCCGCCGCTTTTGGAGCCGAGCCAACAATAGCATTGCCACTACGCCCATGACACCGAGCTTTGGCGCTGGAGCCGTCGCCCCGGCCAACAACTTTTTCAATGGAAGCCTTGCCGGATTGGATACCAGCCAGACTGGCTGGTGCATGTGCTCACATCATGCCTGTTTCCACGATCACACTCCCAACGGTGATTCATCATTGGACCGGGCATCTATCACTACATCATTTTTTACTACCGCCGCAGCGCCCACTGGAGCACCTTTGTCTGCATCCGTAAAATCATCTACACCACAACTCGTACTACCGACATCCTCAACCCCCTTTCCTGGACAAGAGAACGAGCAGCCACGTCCACCACTAGTGCCTCTGAGCACCTCCCAGGACTTGGTTGAAGTTAGCAGCCGCCAGGAAGTGAAGAGCGACGACCAGGCCTTGCCAGATATCTCCTTTGGATTTCCCTCTGATGTTCCTGTCCACTTGGACTCATCCTTTGTCGCCATGATCACCGACGCCGCGCGGGAGAGCCGCGCCTTGACCATGGTAGACGCTGCTGCCGAGGTGGGAGACGACGAAGTGGCAACGGAAGACGATGAGGCGCTTGAGGCGCCCGAGGCAACCTTGGAGTCCACTCCAGTCCGTCCAGCACTGCCAGCTCCATTATCGGGTGCTGCCTCCATTGCCGGACCCCCAGCTGATTACTCTATCCCGGACACGCTTAGCTGGGGTCCTTACAATTTATCTGCACGAGGCGAGGCTCCTGCAGCTGCTGCAGAGTCCAACCCAACCTCAAATCCTCATGCGGGGCTGCTACCGCCTTCTCAACAGCCACCACCATCTACCACGACCACCACATCCTACACGAGTCAGATACGGTATATGCGGCCTTTTGCTGGCAAGGGCCTGCAGACACTCACTCAAGCCGTGTCACTTCCAGCCTTGCCTGGGTCACCTCCCGGACAACCGTCCGAGCAGCATTCATCCACCTCAGCGTTTCGTCCTCTCGGGCCCGAAAGTTTGACGAATGCTGTCCAGGCGCATGAAGCGCGGCTCAACAAGCTTGAAAATCCGTCTTTTTCTGCGTCTGCATCATCCGTATCAGCATCCTTTGCGGCTCACCAGGCGCACGAAGAGTGCATCGAGCGCGCCGATCAGACGGACCTGCGCGTGACCGAACTCGAGTCGCGCTTGGACGAGGTTGAAAGGCAAGTTAACAACGACAACGATGCGGCCACTGTGACGGCGAGCAGCGTGGTATCTGCTTCCACATCTGGCGCCCCCTTGTCGACGACCACCAGCATGAACAGCCGCACGTCGAGGCCGGCCGCCGTCACAGATCCCGCTATCTTGAGTCAGCTCCAAGCGCTCCAAGAGCGTGTCAGTCTCCTCCAGCAGCAGGCGCTTCCCTCAATTTCTCGGCCATGGCTGCTCGAAGTTGTCTTCCTACCCTTCCCACTCAAAGGAGTCTGGGTGGAAGCCGTTCAGTTTGGCGCGACCGAGGCCGTGGCGGCGGCTGCAGCGGCACAACGAAGACAAACCGGCGCAGTGCCTTCTAGCAGCGGCAACGCTGATGGTGACGACGAATGGACGACACCAGCCCAACGTGCGGATACGCCCCGGCTGCTGCCTAGAGCCTGCATACCAGGTCGGAATATCGACCGTCGCCTGCGCAGCCGCGGCCTCGTGCAAACGTTAACGGTGCGTGGCGCCGATGCTCGCAGCCTGCAGACGGCCATGGCCACAGCTTTTGGCCCTATTCTGCGACACATGCGCGCCAACGATACTGCAGATGCCCGGCGCGAACGCCGTGTCACTTCGTCTGCCACCTCACAGTTCCTAGCCCTGCAGCAGCCCTGGGTTCCTTTGCGTAAGGTGCATAAGGACTCACGCCTGCGGTTCCTCACGCGCTCAGAGATGTTGACACCTGCCATTTGGGATGCCAGATTTTTGATTGCCAGTGTCGTCATGAAGGCATCGGGTGGCAAGCACCGTCTCTATGTCACACAGCCTGATGCATACTTGCAGACGCGCCGGGCGTATAACAATGGGTTGTCATGGCAGCAGCTGCGCGAATTGCCTCAGGTTCAGGTGGACCTTGGCGACAACAATTTCGGTATTGACGATGCATGCTGGGCATGGAACAGCAAGCTGGACGAACCACCAACAACGTCGACCTCCGACTCGTCTTCGTCAGCCTCCTCGCCCCTCATGTCCTCCAGTCGCATGGGCCGCCCGTCACCCTCTCCATTCAGTCGTGGCACAACACCGGTACGACATACACGGGGGCCGACTGCCCACCGTGCTTCGTATCCATCAATGGCGGGGCCTGCTGCTGCCCCTGTGCCTGTCACCGCACCAGGTCGGTCTCATTCTGTATCCATCGGTACCTCTGGATCGTCTGAGCAGTTCTTTACTGTTGCGCAGTCGCCTATGCAGCACCGCCTTCCGCAACAACAGTATCGACTCCAGACGGCGCCCGGAAATGGTGGCCCCTCAGCGCCCACGACGCTGCGTCGGTCTCTATCGCCATTCTTCCCGTCGTCATTGGCATCTGGTACTCGTCGTGTTCCACCCCCCATTCGCACCACGTCGGTGCCTGTGTCACATCAGCCGGCAAGCCCTGTTATGATGCGGGGTGCATCTTCTGGTGCTGTCAGCAGACGCCGTATTCGTTCGACAGGCAGCAACCACGCTGCCGCCGCTCCTTCTGTGGCGCCTCCCATGTCCGCCGGCGTCAACAAGCGCAGCCGGCGTCGCAGCACACGCTCTCCGAGCTTCGGCGAGTTCTGGCCCCGTAACACGCCGCGGTACAGCCGAAGCCCAAGCGTCACACCAGGCCCGGGCCCTACTACCATGTGGGCCATCCCAGCCGATGAGCAACAACACCTCGAGCAGGATATGCCCCAGCACCGCCAGCAGCACCAGCCGGCAGCACAGCGCGTCCGCGGGACTACCCCGTTTGCCTACGCGACACCGTTCAGCACAACCGCCGGTGCAGATCACCCGCCGACGTCAGTGTCATCCATTGCTAGTGGAGGCGGCCGGCGCAAGCGGCAGCGAGTCCACCGCCATGAGAACGAGCAACGGTATTTGCGGAACAGCCGGCACGGCAGCCGGGGTCCCATGCCCTCTGTTCTGGGCCTGGGGAACGGTGCGCAGCAGTATTACGATGACGAGGATATGATTATGGCTGCCTATGACAGCGACGATGTCGACGACTTTGACTTCCCCATGACGCAAGACGGCGACGAGATCAACGAGGATGATGACGAGGATGACGACATTGAAGTATACGAAGACGAGCAAGACATGCTTGGACTGGGGGACTCTCCCCAACATGGTCACCAGGATGACCAGTACTATCTCCAAGAACAAGGACACCCGCGACAGGGACACCTGTTGCCGAAAGACCAGCCGCGGCCGGGTATTGAGCGTGATCGCGACGAGGACGAGGACGAGGACGACGATGATGATGAGGATTACATCGGCCATACCTTTGGCAGTCGGCGTCAGCAGCTTAGCGGCACACAAAGCAGCCATGACGACGAAGACGAGAGCATGTCGGACAGCGAGAACCTAGACCCGCTGTCGCCATCGTTGTTTGAGGACAACAGCGCTGAAGAGCAGCAGCAACAGCAAGATGAGCAAGAGCAGCAACAGCCGCAGCAAACGGCGCAAGAAGAAGAGCACCACTCAGACGCGAGTAGCCAACCCAGCGAGTACCCCAGCACACGGCGACCGTGGCGGCTGGTCAAGACCAACACCGCGCAGCCGCTTGGCCCAGACACGACCATCAAGCGTGATATTGATGGCGACACGGACATTGGCTTTCACATTCACGAAGACGGCGACGATACAAACCTGTGATACAATCTAGACGAAACATATTTTTCTGTTCATTCTTACTACAAGGAGCCTTGCATTTCGGCCTCGTTTACACGCTCTTTATACAACCATTTCCTTTGTCCGATTTGTCACAACATATATGTTTACGGGGGGCGTGCATTGCTTGTATGTTTTGGACTTGCTGCTCGTTTTGTTCTCAGTTGTGTATTCAACATTTTTTTGTGGATTGATGGCCGGTGCGTCAAAGGACCTAATGATGGCCCGTGGGTCAGCGTTTGATTTTATTTGCTTTCGAAGAGGCGTTTCACTGCCTGGCGTTTGGTCTTTTATTCTTGGTGGTTCTCGGCCAACACAAAAGAGTGGGTGGTTAGTGTGTCTGGACTCTCTGTATACGTTTTGATGTTTACATTTTTCGTTAATGTACCACTCGTCTTTTACTTTTCATTTTTAATTTATCTTATTTATCTACTGTCGCGAATGAATTGACGTTTTTGTATTCATTATTCATTATTGGTCATAGGTTATCCTCTCCTCTTATCTTATTCATACCATCGCTCATGCAGAGAGCGCAAGTCTGCTGCTCCCAATTCATACAGGTAGCCTGTGAGTGCTTCCGTACTGGCGGCGTCACGCTCAATGGTCGTCCACCCATTGCCAAAGTAGTGGTACCGGTTGCGCTGGGCCTGTGGTGTCCGGTTCCGCTCAAACTCAAAGTCTTCCCAGCGTGGGTCCAGACATGCTTGCATGCGATGATGGCCCGAACCGGGCCACCACACCAACGTGCGGCGGCCTGCTGTACCGTCGCCGGGTGCCTTGAGCCACGAACTGCAGTTGTCACTAGCCACCTTGTCTCGAAAGTGGCCCTGGCAGTATGCATTAAAGTCCTCAGTGGCCTCTCGACTCGGTGTGATGCTGCTGTACTGCTGGAGCTGCATCTTACGCAGCACTTTGGCAATGTACGTCGCGGACAGCTCCACCTGAAGCGGGATCGAACCCCCACCGCCGTTGGCCTGGGCCTGCAGCACCATGAAGTAATTGGGCATGCCGGGCGCCATGACACCGAAATATGTCTCTGGGTAGCCCGTGGCACCCTCGGCGGACCAGTCGTGGCGAAGGTCGACGCCGTTGCGGCCGACAACAGGGAAATGTGGCACAAACCCACTGGCAAATCCCGTGGCGGCAATGATCACATCGACGGGACGCTCCACACCATCAGCGGTGACAAGCGCCGTCTGTGTCGCGGCCATAAGGGGCGTGTCGACATAGGCCACCGTGCCGTCCTCCGCACCCTTGACTATGGTTTCGAGGTAGCCCGGCGCGGGTGTCAGTCGCTTGCATCCGGGCGCAAAGTCAGGGACCAAGCGGTCCAGCCATGCTTGGCTACCGCCGACGCGCTGGCACATGGTCTTGATACAAGAAGCCCGCAAGGCCTCGTTCTCTGGGCTGCCGAGAATGTTGCGCTGGAACTTGGTGTGCAGGTTGCCTTCAATGGTGCGCCGGTAGGCGAGGTAGGCGGCTGGGTCGGCTGCAAATGCTGCCTTTTCGGCATCAGTATACCGGTGGGCGCCGGGATCGTCGCCGGTGGCCTCGACGAGATTCTTTTGAAAGGTGGGTGTGATCCATACGCGCGAGCGCACGTAATGGTCGACGTGCGCAGCACGTGGTGCTACATGGGGCAGGATTTGCTGGCCACTAGAGCCGTTGCCAATGACGGCCACACGTTTACCGGTGAGATCGATGATGGGGTCCCAGGTGGCCGTGTGGACAAGGGTACCGGCAAAGGTGTCTACCAGACCAGGGACGTCGGGCAGCTTGGGCCGGCTCAAGCGCCCCTGGGCGTTGATGAAGAAGGGTGTGGTCTCGTGGAAGGTCTCCTCCGTGTTGAGGTCTTTGATGGCCAAGTCCCAGACGGCACCGTCGGCACGCCAAGTGGCAGATAGGAGTTCATGCCGGAGGCGTATCTGGGAGCGCAGGCCATAGTCATCGACGAGCTTCTCGTAGTACGCGCGGATCTCGGAGCCGGTCGAGTAGTATTCGGCCCAGTTCGGGTTGGGAGCAAAGGTGGTTTCTAAGCACGAAGTGAGAAGGATGCGTGTCAAGCGAGGCGTGGCGGCAGGATACTGTCTTACGGTAACAGTGTGATGGTATGTCGCATCGCACGCCGGGATAGATGTTAGCAGCCCAGGTGCCGCCCTCGAAGGTGGTTAGCAATGGCTGTTTCCCAGTATATGGATCGTATCGACTTACAATGCGATCTTGGCGATCAAAGAGGGTGTACTTGAGGTTCGGGACCTTGTGTGAGAGCAGGATGGCCGTGATGATGCCCCCGAGGCCCGCGCCGACGATGACGACCTGGATCTGTTAGACACAAGATAGCACGAAACATCTCACATTCCACAATTTGTATTCCAAAATACCAAATCTAGGGCTCACTTTGATCGGTGGATGTGGATTTAATGGCTCGTCGTCGGCCACGAACAGGGCGTCTTGTGGCATGTCGATCGGAGCCGACACTGCCCACGACGAATTGCGCGATGTTGATCGCGAAAGGGTATGATGCAAAGAAGGATGCCGTCTACAAACGGCCCGTTGTAGATGTAAATAGAAAAGACAGGGGAGGATTTAAAAATAAAATAACAAAACAAGATACGGAAGCAGCGATCGTACCATACAAGTAGTGAACTATGGGGGGCCCCGTGACGAAGGCTGGACAAAGAAGGAAAGAACGATGCGGGCTGGCATGACCGTTATCAGAGACGGTTATCAGAGACGGTTACACTCGTCCGTCCGAGGTAGGATCGTTAACGAGGCAAGAACGACTGACTACGAGTGATAGGGAAAGAGATACAAGATCAAGCATTGCCAGTGCAAAAAGGCATCATCTGTTCCATGCGCGCCCTTCCACCAGCCGTGGCAACCATCGCGGCACTGGTTTGTGTACGGTCCTCCAGCCGTCGGGGTTGGTCTTGCACCAGTTGTGCACCGCGCGTTGCTGCTAGTATGTAGCATGCATGGTCCTCTCTCGCCTCGGCGGACGCGGCGCCCCGACACCTTGGGCTCATCAGCCGCCGTTTCCGAGCCTACAGACGTTATCGCGTCCCCGTGGGGACTTTCCCCGTGTCGTCATCATGCACCAGCAGTCCCAAAGAGCCGTGGTGGACCAGAGGCTGCAGTGTGCTGCCAATCTGGTCAATTCTGCGCGTTTGGCGCCTCGCGTGGAAAGAGTCTTCGACCTACAGAGGAGTACTTATATCCGGTGGCCTGGGACGGTGGGCACAAGCAGACATCTGGCGAAATATTTCCGTGTGCGCAAGCTTGAGCGCAAGCTCGAGGCGGCGGAGCGACTGGTCTCGCATCGTTTACTATTTGAGGCCGTAGCTGCTTCTCCGCCCGCCATGTAACGCAAGTGCTGTCAACTAACCATGGATACGCTACTGTACGTCTTGCTATAGCGGCATGCACCGTCCTGTCGCGGACTCTACCACCGCCGTTCTTTGGGAGCCACTTCCCGCCCGAAATGTAATTTGAAGCTACTTTCCTTCGTCGTAAACGCGCTTTTAGTCGGGGCTCCATCCCGATCGGTCTCTTTTCTGTTTCAGACACGCCCGTCAGCTGGGCAAATGGAACAGAAATGCGTTCGTATAAGACTGGCAGTTCCTTTTTTTCATCCCATCTCTGTCTCCTGTCCTTTTGCTCTTCTCTTTGCTCTTCGTTTTCTCTTCCTCCCCATCCCACGGCTACACTTTCGCTCACACTCATCGTCTTCATTACCTCTTCGGCAATACGTCACATTATTATGACCTTCTCCGCCCTGCGCCAATAAACGGCGTTGTCTCCGGTACCCGCGCACCAATCAGACAAGCAGCAAGAACAATGGCTGCAGCGACACGAATCCAGCACTCCATGCGACGTCGTCCGGGATTCGGCTTCGAGGAAGCGTGCTGATTTGCTGGCCCCAGGTGCACGTCAAGCGAACGTCGACAGCCTGATGGCAGCTGAGAGAGGAGAAGACGACATGGTCATGACCAAAGCATGGCCAATTTGGGCAAAAGGGTGCCACATAACTTCGCCCGTGCCAAGGCAAGGCGTCTGAATCCGGACAGCCAAGGAGTGGATGGATCGTCCCGTCGGCAGGCAGTGACTGGGAACCAGAGCACGGACGAGAGAGTTCCCAAAAGTGTCTCCCCACGGCAATGAACGTGGATGGTCCTTGGGGGCCAAAGGCAACGTAATACGAGAAACGAGGCCCCCTGCGCACAAAGAAATGAGCGAAGCAGTGTCCTGGCCGATGGACAGAACGAGGCAAGCGGTCGCGCAAGATGGGGGTCGCGAGGGGTAACGGTGCGTGGACTGAAACGGCGACGCAGTTGACTGCAATTGACCGAAAGTTGACCGCTCTTTGGCCTGGTTCGCGAGATATAAAAGGAGAAGAGCAGAGGTTTGTTTTCGGTTTCGAAGGGCGAACTTCTCTTGAGCTCTGAGCCTCGTTCTTTCCGTCTCTCCCCTCTCCGACGGTATTCTCTTGCCATTCCGTCTTGCGTCGCTCCTTCCTCGTACGAAGAAAGTTTCGCCTTCTCCGACGTTGATAGCTGCGCGCTTCTTGGCTCTTTCTTTATTCCGCTTGTTCTATTCATCCTTTGCGACATTCACCCCTTTGCTCTGGTCTTGCGCTAAACCGTTGGTCTTGGGCCTCTAGCCTCGCCTTCGGTCCCTCACTAAACGCACTAGGCGGCTCCAGGACGACCCTGGGCGACCCAGAACAACCGGAAGGAGCAGTAGTGGCATCGCTAGCGTGCATCGCCCGTGACGTTTCGCTCTTGCCTTTGTCCCATTTTTCTGGCTTGCTTCAGGTTTTTGGGTCACGTCTGCTGCGCCGATCGACAATCAACTTGCCGCCGTGCAACAATTCCCCGTCCGCCGGGCGGGACAGGGCTTTGGGGACGGCACGTTGACAAACGACGATCGACATCGACAGCGACAAGATCCACGACGACAATCGTGTCGCGTGGGTCGACCCCTTCGCAGCGTGCATCGTATCATCGGACTGGTTGCGGAGACGCGGCACGCGGCCTCTGTGTGCCACTTCCAAGCTGTTGCTTCCTGCTGGAGAAGGAGCAGTTGAGGTTCTCGAGCGAGATATCTTACCACTCGCCAGCGTCTATAGATTGGTTGACAAAGCTGCCTAGGCGTTGACGTCCAACGTTGTGGCACCTCTCTGGTACCTTTTCGCGCCCCCCCTCTCTCTCATGTCCCTCTGTCTTCGTGATGGCAGATAAGGGCTTCATTGTCGAATCCGCCGAGACAATGACTGGCGACACAGTCATCTCGTCTCAACTGGGCTCACACAGCGCAGAAACGGACGATGGCATTCCGCATACGCCCACCCACTTCTCCTCTTCCTCGCCAGTATCCCACCGTCGGCGTCTGGCCGGTATCGTCTGGGACTCCCTTGATAAGTCACCCGAGGACCGCCGCCTGATTGCCAAAATCGACTGGTTCATCCTCAGCTACGTCTGCCTCGCCTACTTTGTCAAGTACCTTGACCAGACAAACGTGTCCAATGCGTACGTCTCGGGCATGAAGGAGGACCTGGCTATGTCGGGCAACGATCTCAACTACCTCACCACCTTCTGGACCATTGGCTATATTATCGGCCAGGTCCCCTCGCAAATTATCATGGCCACCTATGTGTCACCCAGCATATGGCTGCCCTCCCTGGAGCTCACCTGGAGTCTGCTCGTGGCGGGCATGGCCGCCTCCAAAAACGTCACCACCGTCTACGTGCTGCGCTTCTTTATCGGCTTGCTCGAGGCGTCGGCGTACCCGGGCATCATGACCCTGCTCGGAAACTGGTACCTCCCCGAAGAGCAGGGCAAGCGTGCCTGCATCTACCAGGCCTCGTCGAGCGTCGCCCAGATGTTCAGTGGCTACCTGCAGGCCGCTCTCTTCTCCAACATGAACGGCGTGCACGGCATTGCTGCTTGGCGCTGGCTCTTCATCTTTGACGGCATCATTGGCGTGCCCATTGCCGCCTACGGCTTCTTTGCCATCCCCAACAGCCCGACCACGACGCGTGCGCGCTGGCTCAAGCCGCACGAGAAGCAGCGTGCCATTGAGCGCATGCAGAGCGTCGGCCGCCGTGCGCGCGGCCGCCTGACCGTGCGCACCGTGGTCAACCTGTTCCGCGAGTGGCCCGTCTACTTGTTTACGCTGTCGTTTGTGTGCTACATCCAGGCCACGCGCGTCTACTCGTACTTTAACGTCTGGCTCAAGGCAACCGGGCGCTACTCGGTCGAAAAGGTCAACCTGATCCCCACGGCCGGCTTCGGCATCCTGGTCTTTTTCACCCTGGTTTTCGCCTGGACCAGCGACGGCCTGCGGACGCGCTGGCCCATTATCGTCTGGGGCGCCTCCATGTCGCTGATCGGCGCCATTATCCTGTCGGTCACCGTGACGAACGACCACAAAGCCGACCCCAACATCCCTGCGATTCTGGCCGGCTTCTTTTTGACGTACCTCACCACGGGCACGGCCGGCGTCTACATGACGTACATTACCGAGGTCCTGGGGTATAATTACCTGCACCGCGCATTGGTCATTGCGCTGACCGACACGGTGGCCTACGTCTTTGTGGCCTGGCTGCCGCTGGTCAGCTTCAACACGGGCGAGGCGCCCTTCTTCCGTGTTGGCTACAAACTCACGGCCGTCTTCTTGGCGCTGCAGATCGTCACGATCACGCTGGTGCCTGTGGCCCAGCGTTATTTCCCTGTGGGCAAGTACGAGCGTAACGACGAGCAAGAAGACCAGATCACGGCTGCCGAAACTCGAAAAGAGGACGGAGCAGCAGGAGCATCGTCACCAGCAACAGCCCAAGGCCCGAGACCTGTCGCCGACGGAGCGGTGACTGTTGTGTAGACGTAACTTTTGAGGTTGAATGTAACTGAGCATTTTCTTGGCCGAGACCCGGGCACGGAACATTATGACAATATCATTGTTCCCTTTGTTGTACGGTTGCTGGTTGTGAATTTGTTGATGGCATTTGATTGACTTTTCTGGAAGCCAAAATAAACAAATATTTGACACTAAATACACTAAATGCACTACATGCACTGGGGTAGCCTGAAATGCACAGTGGAAAGCAGGCATTCTTAGCCCCTAGAGCCCCGCAAGTGCAGCACAACAGTCGCAATTCATTGGACGGATGGCGACAAAAGCACGTTCCACCCGAAAAGCCAAGGATCCTCTCTTAGTGAAGAAAGCTACCCGCCAAGGTTCGTGGAGACGAGTACGGCACACACTGACAGTCTGTGGCTTTTGTTTGTTGCCTTTTCTTCTGTCTCATTTGGCCTCGGTTGTCTCATTTCTTTGTGGCTTCCTTTGCTCCTTCCTTCATCGTACTCCTTCCTTTAGGACAAAAAAGCGGAAGAACGCCCCGACACCACAGTTCGTCGCCCTTTCCATTTATCTACTTCCAGTTTCTGGTGCCCATTCGTTCC